AGTGGTCAAGTAGCTGGACTTAATATTTATTTTGTATTTTTTTTTAAGTCTCTTCCAACTGAACTATTGTACTCTAACTAGGAATGCAATGCAGGTTTGCACAGCAACTACATGGAGGCACACTTACCACATCCAGTACCATAGACAAGTGCCCCAGTTCAAGCTTGCCTTCTGCTTGTGGCTCTGTTATTGAGTAAGAATAGACATCACCAGATTTGTCTGCAACCAGAATCTTATCCTCAGCAGCTGTAATAACGAGGGACGTGCATCTCCTATTCACAGACCTGAAAGAAAAATGGCACAGTTTGAACATGCATGGGAACTTCAGCAAGTCTGGATTCAGACCCAGTTAAACAGACCAAGACAGACTAGACAAAAACCTGTTAGATGCCACATTCTTAATACAGCAGCAATGAGAATAATGTTACAGTAAGGTGTGCAGAGGCAAACAGCACTTTTGAGACCTCTTGGATCAACAAACTGTATGACAGAAAACACCTGAAAGGTGGGAGAAAAAAGGTGAAGCATTAGAGCTGCTTGTTTGCATTTAGCTTGCTACATTCTCAATGGAGCATCTGACTAGGCAGCCTGCCAGTGCTTTAAAGAAAGCCTGGTAGACTTTGTGTTCTCTTTAATAAAAATACAGCCTAAACACGTGGAAAAGAGAAAGCCAGGCAGGAGGTCTCCTAGTACAACTATTTTGCAGCAACACGGGTAAAAACTGCAGTGAGGCTATTTCTCCAGCTGCCACTTTGTACTGTAAAACAAAGTCCTCTGTGAGCTTTACAGACTCTTCCTCCTCACATGCACAGAGAGATACAGTCTCAGGGTATCTTCTCCAGGCAAAAAACCCTGAACTGGAACTTTGACTTTCCCACATCATCATCCAGTATTTTATTGTTCCAGTAGTAGTGTAGCAGGTAATGTTTTTCCAATAGCTTTCCAGATAAATTTAAAGACCACACAGGTCAGAAAACAAAGTGTTGCAATAGGTTTAATCACAATTACTCTGAAGAAAGTTTCTGCAAATTAACAGCTGTTGTTATCACTATTATTCTTTCAGTTTCGAAACACCTCTTTTCCAAACCTCTCCATGTCCTGAAAGCGTCGATACATGACTGCCAATAACGGGGATCATAGAGAATGGCCATTTCTATTCACCTACTCTGAAATGTAGTGACCTCTGGAGGCAAAAGAACAACATGCTGCACTCCAGGTAGACAGATACCAATTCTAATACATTTTAGTGACTGTGTAAAGGAGTACCGTAACAATGGGAAAATATATAGGACACGAATGCCTACTAACACATGGCAGGCTCAGGCAGCACAGTGTCCAAACAGGATACCTTGCTAACAAGAAGTCTTATTCCGAGTTTAGCTGTACTGCCTTTGACTTAAAGAGACAGATCCGAAAGTTCCCCTCGTCTGAAACAAGCTTATTAGGAGAGCTAGCATTAAATTAAATTATATTAAATTAGGAAAGCTAGCTTTAAATTAAATTATATTGAAGGTGTGAAACCTTTAATACAGCTTGCCATAAAACTACCACAAGTTACCTAGCTCAACTTTGGCATTCTTTCCCCCTCAACCCCCAGAGAGACCCTTTTGCCTGTATTCCCAGTTTCCTAACAGGACATAGCAACATTCCCCAAAATCCAGCTCTGATTCTAGCTGGCTTTCTAGCAGAAAACAAAACTATCCAGCAATTATCCAATGGCATCTTACAGGCAGGAATAACGGGTTAGGGCAGCAGGGCAGCAGCAAGAGCATGCACATTGAACATAACTTGTCATTTCTGGTTTTGCCAGCAATTACTCACTGCAATGCTGGTTAACCCAGCAAAGGTCTGTCACGTACCCTACACACACAGCCAAGCTGAGTAAAACCCCATTTTGTATTATTTTGCAACCAGGGCCTTGCATTCATCAAGATCACCAGAAGCAGAGACCTTACATGGTGACTTACCTTCTCAGGAAGTCCTTCACAGTCCTTTTTTTTTTTTTTTTTTAAACAGAGGATCGTTACAAGCAGCAATGAAAAACTTGTAACTGGAGGACCTCTGGTGGACAGCCACAGTTTTCTCAAGAGAACTACACTACAGAAGGAAGTGTGCAGTAGCTCTAAAAATATGCTTTTGAGCTCACATATTCCCTAAAATATCTTCTCCTCCTAATCAACAGAACCAGACAGTGCATTCATTGAACTGCTCAGTATCACTCTGAAAGACCCAACCGCAGCATTCACTAGGAGCGAGTAAAGTTTCAGTTCTTAAAGATGCAAATGCTATCTTCTGGAATAAACAAGAGATTATCCTTTTCCCGGCCAACAATACAAATTCCCAAGATCATTAAATATGCTTAAGTACAACGGGGGATAAAAAAGAGAAAGCTTAGCAATAGCAAATTCATGCATCCCAAGTACTGCTATTTTATAGGTCTACTTTAATCAGCCATAGCCCCATTACGAAGAGACAAGCAACATCCTGCTGCCTTACCTGATGCTAATGCATTCCCAGGAAGGCTTAGTACGAAACAGAATCAGACGTTTGTTGTCATCTGTCAAGACAAAATAATCTCCTGATGGGGAGAAGGCAAAAGCTAGGATGTCATCGCTTCCTTTATCTGTTGATTGTCCGTCCTGCCTAGTAAAGAGAAGGGGAGAAAAAGAGCTCACAACCTGAAACATAGGTTCTGAAATCATTTAGAAAAGGTTGTTCTTACAGCACCAGCAAGAAGGAGTATGAAGAACGAAGTACAATGCTTGAAGTTGGATTTCAGCTTAAAATGTTAAGCCAGCTTGAACATTAATGCAAAGGTATAGGGATTGTACTCGCACCTTAGAAGCCAGAAGTAAGTTTTTTTTTGTTTTTGTTTTTGTGTGTTTTTTTGTTTTTTTTGTGTGTGTGTGTGTGTGTGTGTTGTTGTTGTTTTGTTTTTTAAAGAAAACTGTGCTTCACAGACTCTTAGAATGGTTTGGGTTGGAAGGGACCTTAAAGACACCCAGTTCCAACCCCCTGCCATGAGCAAGGGTGCCACCCACTGCATCAGTTTGACCAAGCCCCATCCAACCTGGCCCTGAACACCTCCAGGGATGCGTTCCACCTCCACTTCTGTTTCAATGCCAACAGCAACAAGCCTTCCCTTAGCATTTTATTCTCCAGGTTGAAGAAGAAACATTCTCTCAGTCTGTCCTCACACACCACATGGTTCAGGCCCCGACCACCTCGGTGGCCCATTGCTGGATTAGCTCCAGCCCATCCATGCCTTTCTTGTTCCCCAGGGCCCAACACTGGACACGAAACTGCAGGACTCACAAATGCCAAAGAGAAAAGAAGAATGGTTTCCACCGGCTTTACACTGCTCCTAACAAAGCCCGGTGAGCTTAACACGATGCAGAGAGGTTGTAGAGCCAACCTTATCTTGCTCCCCTGCCCAGGGTTAGTCCAGCCCAGGTATACACTTCTGCATTTGCCTTTGATAAATCTCATGAGGATCCTCACAGCCTGTTTCCCCAAGGTGCTGAGATCCCTCAGAAGAGGAGCCCTCTCTTAAGCACATCTGTCACTCCCTCTAGGTTTGGTATCACTACTGAGCACCACACAATATGAGCACCAGCTGAAGACAATTATTAGCTAGGGTTTTAAACAGTACAGCCTCACTATACAGTTTTATGCCATACATAAAAGCTGCTTCAAGTAAGATAAACCATTCTTCTAAACTAAAGAGGATGCAATCTAAACAGCCAGGACTACATTTATACCTAAATTTTTTCTAAGATGTCTCCACTTTGCAGTACAGGACAGTGCATGGCCCTGATGGCAGCAGTGACCATGCTTGGAACCACACGAGGACCTGCCCTGAGTTCGTGCTGATTAGTACAGACAAGACACAGGACTTTGCTGCACCCAAATTAGGACAGGAATCCTGCTTTCCAGATTGCTTATTCCTGGACGGTGCACAGTCCACCGCACCAGGTTCCATCAACCCATGAAAATTCTTCAGAACACAGAATTCAAGCAAAGTGTACATTTATAGACAGTAACTTCTTAATAGTTCCAGCCTCCTTGAAATAAATAATGACTTTTTGTAATCGGGATGCAGGTTTTAGGTTTCTTTCTTCTCCATGGTGAGAAAGAAAAAAGGCTGAGAAGAAGGAAACTGTTTTAAGTCCTAAGCCTACATCGTTCTCTGCTTTAAGAAGTGCTAGGGTTAAGGCTACCAGATCTTGATACAAGTTTAGCAGAAAACAAGAAAACTGCCTACAGGACTAACAGTGTCCAGTGGCTGGAGTTAAACTAAGAAAAAGACCTCTTCATTTTTTGAAAAAAATGAATGGAAAAATGACCTAAAAAATAGACTTGAAGGAAGATTGTGTACTGTTTTTTGTTTCTAATAGTAGTCTAATAAAAGATGCAGCATTGTAAGCATTATCTTGACTACCAGAAGTCATACAAAACCATTGACTATACTATTGGTGCTTCTCTAAAACAAAAACGAGCAGGTATACAGTCCCCCCTCTTGAATTAAACCACAAATACGTATATCTACGTATATCCATCAGGGATAGCACAGACCACCGGTCCAAGGAGTCATCCCACGACTTTGTTTAATTATCTTCGCGTAACCTGAGGAAGAGATGCAGCATCTAGGAAAACACCGGATCATTGACACTTATTTTCTCACCGTTTCTCTTCTACGGCCTTCTGTTCCGCATCGCTGCAATCATACACGAAGAGATCACCTTCCCTGCGAGTAAAAAAAAAAAACAAGAGAGTAAAACCACCGGAACAAAACCAAACCTGAGTTTAAGCATTAAGAGCATCAGCTGCTTTATTTTGTAATAAAAGGCTCCCGAGGCGCCCCGCACTGACCCGTGCTCCCTGCACCGCGCCGCCAGCAGCCTCCCGCCCCCCGCGGCGGCCATGAGCGGCCCTCGCAGCGCCATGGCCGGGCCGTGCCCGCCGCCCCCTCGCCGCCTGCCCCCGCCGCCATCTCGGCCTCCGCCCGCCATGGCCGCCCCATGCGGGCGGGCGGGCGGGCGCGGGGCGATGACGCCCGGGTAGGGCAGTGGAGGGCGGAGGGCGCAGCGCAAGATGGCGGCTGCCGCGCTGCTGCGCTGTGGAAGGGCGGCCGCCCGCCAGGTGAGTGGCCCCGGGGGCTCCTCCACCACCACCACCGACCCCTTTTTTTTTTTTTTTAACCCTCAGCGCTCTCCGCTGACCCCCGGGTGAGCGCTGTGCTGGCTGGTGTTTTGCAGGTGCTGCGGCTGGACCCCCCCGCGCCCCGATGTGCGCCCTCATCGGCGGCGCTGTGCACCCGGCCGGTGGGCTCCGGGACGCCGGCGGACAGCAGTAAGGCACCACCCGCGGCCACACAGCCTCGTCCCGGCCTCAAACCCAAAAAACAGCCCTCCTCCGGGCCCCTGCGGGCCGAGGGGGGAGCTGCCTGCACGGTGGGGCTTGCGCGGTTAGCTGCCCCTGGGGCTGTCCCCGCTGGCAGCGCGGGGGGCTTGGGTTGTGGATAAATAACCCTAAATAGGCTGCAAGAGCTGAGGAACCCCCACAGCCCTTCCTGGGTGCCTTCCCCTTCATGTGTGAGCTGCTGTCGTGCTTGAGCAGGCTCGAGGAGTTGTCGTTGTGTATGTCCTAACATATAGACAGGCTTTGCAAGGTGCCACAAGGTTGATGGAAATGAGCGTAGCAGCATACTTTGTTTATTAATTAATTAATTACTTTATTTATTTATTTAAACTGAGGTGTGGTTTTGACCTTCAGACATTCCCCTTTGCCTTTTGAAATGCTTGGATGATGTGGTTCAAAAGGCGGTGCGCTTGGGTGGAAGAGAGAAAAACTCCCAAGGCAGGAGTATCTGCTCCGGGCTGCGGAGAAGCACCACATCCTGTTATATTCGGTTTAATTCCACTGCTTCTTAACCCCGTAGGTTTGCAAGCCCGGTAAGACGTAGGCCTGGGTTTGGCTGCCAAAGTGCATTCAGTGTTCAGGAGTATTTGAACCGCTTCTGACCGAAACCAACCTACAAACACAGATTTCAAAGAAAAGATAATGTGCAAAATGCCTTTTGGATGTACACAGAGGCTCGTTGGTTCAATGAGTAGTATTTTCATCCCAAATTAAAGATCTAGGTGCTTACACAGCACAGTTTCACGGGGCCATACGTGGGAACAATCAGACTTGTTGACAGGTATTGAAAAGATGACTGGGAGAGGAGCTGAATGCAGACTTCTGGCTTCTAATGTTTGCCTCTTAAATACCAAGGCAAATAAAAGCTTGGATTGAGAAAGCCATTTCTGCGTAGATTGATGTAGGCCTGTCTGAATAACAAACTGCTTCTTACTGTAACTTATTTTATGCATTACTTTAAGCGTATTTGCTCTGTATTTGTAGCAGCAGTTTCTAAATTCATTGTCCTGCAGCTCTGATTTCAGAAGGTGCCAGGAGACCTATTAGTCTACCTCTTTCAGCCAGCTGCTTTCCTTGCAAACGATTATGTTTAGTCAAGATGTATAGGATGCAGCTGCCTCTTTCAGATTCTGTCTGGAGCAAGCTATACACATTTTCTTTGCTCTGAGAAAATGGTCATGTTTACTAATGAAGTCAGTGATGGGAGTTGACCTGTAAGTTCTGGATGCCACCTTTCTGAGTGTGAATGTGTTTTAAGCATGCTCCAGTAACGATACTAGTGATACAACCCTGTTCCATTTGGGAATAATATTCTCTTTTGGGATGTGTTCTTCTGACAGAGTCAGTTTAGCAATAGCCACCTACAAATCAGGTAATACAAAGTTTGAAACACCCTAATTAAAGCGTCAGTACCAATTGTATTGCGCTTGATGCTTATGAGTGGAAATGTGCCTTTTCAACATTTCCAAACGTTACTGTTTAAACTATTTTTTTGCAGCAAAACTTCCTCTTAATGCTCAGTTTGAATGCTGTCTACCTCCTTGATTTCTTGGGATATCATAGTATTAACACTTCTTCAGCTTTTGCGCAGGTTTCGCTTGTCTGTCTTCCCTTTGGGCATTCTTATGTTCTCCCTGTGCAGTTCCTCAAAGAACTTTTCAGCCTGGAGTGACGCTTTCTCAAGTGTTAGTTTATACAGGCTGCTGTGTTTGGCTGCATCTGTTAGCAGGCAGGCAGGCTTCCCCTGAAGGTCACTTCCCATGCTGTATTCTGAGTTCTGTATTTCCTTTGTTAAATAACTTTGCTTCTAATTCCACGTATTTGCCTCTTCTGTGATGTTTTCAGTTCAACATTGCTAAAGACTTGCTTCTATTCAGCGCTACTTACGGTATCACCTTAGGTCATACAAGGTATTACTGTAAAATACTAGTAAGGGGGAAAACTGCATCTAACTTACGGTCCTGCACAGTAGGTCTGGACTCCCAAACTGTGCAGATATATCCACACGATAGACTGGAAGTCTGCTGAATTACCCTGCAGGTTGGAAATGGTGCAACTCCTTATGGACTCAACTCTGCTGTAGCAAATTTCCATGGTGGTGTGGCTTCTTAATATGCTCCCAGACCTTTTGGTCCTGCTGTTTTTTCTAACAACAACAGTACATGTTGTTGATCAGCCTCTCAAGGACATCACTGGCATGGACTTCCAAGAGGTGTTTGATACACCGCGTAAGGGCCTGAAAGTTGCTGCTTCCTCTTCAACTGTTTGCTCCTTGTCTGGAGAATTCAGCTTAATGAAGGTGTCTGTGGGAGAGAAGAAATAAAGACAGGCTACCGTGAAGCACCAGGAAGTCTTCTAACACTTCTTTATGAAGAGGTCTCAGACTAAAAATAAGAAGTGGAGATAGTGAAGACTGGAGGAGATGGAGTCTTGGGGAAATTGAGTGAAGCTGTGTTAGATGCAATTCAGTTGGTAGGTCACGTGGACCCATCAGCAAGTAATACTTCCATGTATGGCCTCGGGTGTCTCTTACTCTGGTACTAGTCCCTTGGGAGTCATCCCTCCCTACTGCTTAAAAGATAACTATTGCAAAAGGCTGGCTATTGCTGTGTCTGTTTACTGTGTCTTCTGCTCTGCTGGCCTCTTCACTGGCAAATATTGTCTCTGTAACAACAGGGCTCAGCTAACAAGCTATCTTAATGCTCATCTGAGGTAAGAAGGTGTGTCTGTAAAGCATTTCCACTGATGCAGAGTTGAAGCACAGAGAAAAACAGCTCCTGTAAGGAGTCTGACAAAGCAAGGAGCAAAAGGTGTTATTTCCTGAGTTCCAGCATCATAGCAGCAGAAACTGTTCGATGCTAACTAGAGCTCTGTTGTCTTTAACTTAAAATGCCTTAAAGCTTTCTGCTTCATAATGTCCATATTTAGTATAATAAGTTATTTCGATTTGCTTTTTTGACACATGTTGCTGTTTTTGCTTTTCAGTTTGCTTTTCGTGACACATCATGTCAAAAAGTTAAAATGATATGACTAAGATCATTAATTAACAGGGATGTCAGGTATAACGATGATAATCCTCTTTGTGCCGTTTCCTAGATGTAATGACACCTCAGGGAAGCACCAGGCTGCTAGCCACGAAGGCAACAGTTGAATTTCCTAAAACGTTGTCTTCTAGCTCAGAGTCTCCAACTGAAGGTGAGACAATATCTAGTACTAATCTCAAGGAAGCTTCAAAACCTTCTGATGAAGATCTGAGAGCGTTGATGTCAAGAAAAACTGTGGTTGCATTTCCTCAGCGCAGAATTGGTTCTTCCATTGTGGAGGAAAAACACACTAGAGCCGCAAGAGGAGGAGGCATGAGGAAAGAATTAGCTGAAGAAGAAGAAAGCTCGTCTTCATCCAGCTCGGATTCAGATTCTAGCTCAGATTCTGAAGGAGAAGATGATGATGATGATTCAGAAGCTGCCATTAAAACCAGAGTGGAGTTTCCTAGGCGAGATGCCAAAATTTCTGAGAAAGTAACAACAAATGCATCAAAGCTACCAAAGGGTAACTTGTCCCAGAAACGCCACAAAGAATCTGGAGCTAAGAAGAAGCCAAGCAAAACAGAACCAGATATATCTACCATCAAGCAGGTGACGTTTTCTAAAACTCCAGTTGGTCATAAAACATCAAAATCCAAGGCAAGAGACCCCAACGTAAAATCAGCTCCGAAAGAAGCGGATCAGCAGAAGCTGGCCTTAGAACCACACTTGGATGAACACCAAGCCCTGGCAGACAGCACTCTTAAATCCGATTCTTTGGGGGAAAAGTCCGCTGGAGCCCAGGTAGCAACAACTCAGCTGAAAGCTCCACCAGTGGCTCAGGAAGACAAAAAGCCAAACCTGGTGTCCGGAGGGGAAGCAAAAAGGGTAAAGGAGGCATGGGAGTCAGCAGCAGTAGAAGTAACTTCTAAACAAGAAGAGGAGACTTCTGAAAGCGCGGTGTTGGTGATGGGTACAAAGGAGGAGACCGTGCAGGAAGCAGGTGACCAAGCTGGAGAAAGCAGCACAACAGAGGGTACACCTTTACATTGTTTGAACTGTGTTGATTCTTCTGGGCTAGGGTGTATGTTTTTCTTTTTTAATAGTTTCCAAATCTTCTCTGTTTGTGATTCTTTGATCTCTGTATGTATTGAAGCTAATGGTGTAGCAGCGACTTCCTCGAAGAGAAATTCTTACGCATTACTAATTGTTATAAGAGCTTCATAACACTCAGTTTGCACTTATGTTGTGAAAGGAAGCTGTAATTACAGTTTTACAAGCCAGTTGTTATTTATAAAATGAAAACGAGATTATGAACAAAATCATGGGGTTTATATGACAAAGCTTGCTTTCCCTTTTTTTTTTTTCTTTTTTTTTTTTTCTCAGAAGGATTTGGTAGCTGCTTTTTTCCTCAGCTAAATTTGGTATCATCTGATTTCTGTTTAAATCCAGCTCTCCCTCCCCCTCTCCTTCCTGCCTGTTCTTTCCCAAACTCTTGCAGTGCTTCAGATTTCAGGAGACGTCAAGAAATTGTAATGTAATGCCAGCAACAGAAGTTGGTTCTGAGATTGGTGGATTTCTCCCTAGCTTCACTCCATTAACTTACCCTTTTTAGTTGCCACCAGTCCTGTTGACTTTCTTCCTGCTCTCATTCTGCATATTTCAATAGTAAATGCCCCTCTCTCCTGATCTCTTATGACTTTCCATGTTTGGCATCCAGCTTAGGCAGTGGTACCGTTCTTCTCCGTAAAGCTGTGGGGATAACATCCTTCAAGTGACGTCCTTGCAGAAGAGGCCCCGGGGATCTTAGTGGACAGCAGGTGGAACCAGCAGCGAGCCCTGGCAGCAAAGACGCCCGGTGGTGTCCTGTGCTGCATTCGGAGTGCCACCAGCAGGTGGAGAGAGGTGATCCTCCCTTCTCAGCACTGCTGCAACCACTCCAGGGCACTGGGTCCAGTTGTGGGCACACTACAAGAGGCATGGAGAGACTTGAATACGAGTAGGAGGACTTGGTCTTGAACCGTGCTAATGATTCAAGGTGGAGATCATGGCACTTTGTCGATGTACGAAACAGCCTCCCCTACTCTGGTGCTGTAAATCCAGAATAAGATTAAGCCCACGTGGCAAGCTTGCCCCGCAGACGTATAAAATAACCACGTCTCAGATACGCAGCCACGCCAGCAGCAAAACCTTTTTGATAGACCTGGTTATGCTGGAAGAAGCACTTGTGCCTTTGAGGCCCTCTTGCTCTGTGGAGGTGGTAGGGCTGTGCGGGGTGGTGCGGGTGGGTTCACGCTCCTTTACTGCTGGTGAAACACCTCTGGGTGTCAGGAGAGCAGCAGAGTGCAACCTAGCTGTGCTGCTCAGCAGCATCACTGCTGTCTTCAGGGTATCTTGCTCCCCCTTTTGAGGCCGCCTTTGAAAACAGCTACTGCTTTTCCATGTTTAATGTTCACAGCTAATGATACCTTCTGTGCTCTTTCGCTCATCTGCAAGCTCTGCAGCAAGCGTGCTGAAGATGTAGAAGCAATTCTCCTTACAGACCTAGGCGTTCAGGTGATGTCATCCGCTTTGTAGAGCAGGCAGTACCAAGCAGTCAGCAAAAACTGCTGACTTGAACTGCTGAAGAAGTAGCAAAATAGCAGCGTGGCAACTCAGAAATACATCTCTGATTCATTTTGGAAGAACATCCTGTGAAATCCGTGCTCTTTAAGGGAGAAAGCAGAGAAGAAGTCTGAAGTGTGGGGAGGATGATCTCAGGGATAAATTTCTCCTTTGAGAAGCCAAGTACAGTGTATTTGGGCAGGAAAAATGAGACTCCATCTGCTTTTCTTCCTGAGCATCTGTCTCTTAATTTGGAACAACTGTCTCTTGCAGGTTGAACGTACGCTTGCCTACGCCTGCTTGTTCTTGGGGCTATTTGCAGCCAAGACAGCATCATCTGGCTTTTATACGTGTAGCGGTGTCTCCTGTGAGCCGCCTCAGTAGGAACGGAGCAGTGGGCTCGGGGTATTTCCTTTTGTAGGCTGTGCGTTGTTTTTGCTGAAACGAGGGCTTACTCCGTGCCAATTTATAAGCAAGTCTTGCTGAATTTTAAGCATACATGCTCTTAAACTGGTAGCATTTTGCACTGCAGTAATTGTGTCATAATTAAAGGGAAATTCTGGTGTTCGGTTGCCTGAGTTCCTGCGTTTTTATTGCAGGGTGTAGCATTACAAAAAGGAGCTTAATGTGATCTAACATAAGCCACCACATGCAAATTTAAACAAGGAAGCTCTTCGCTAGATTATGCTTATGTCTTTCCTATTGTTAAAACTCTGGGAGGATGAGAATAAATTAATATTGGGAATAAAGCTTTATTTCTTGCAATTTCCTTGGTTGTAAAATCAGCCCATAACAGGAACCTTTTATGTAAATAGTACTGCCTGTATTTGCATAATATTCTAAAAGTATAAGAATTAATGTTGGTTTTAATGTGAAGTAAGGAGTTCTGAATAGCTTTATTAGATTACTCTTTTAGGAGGAAGAGCTGATTACAAAGTTTAGAAGATTGTACTGCAATTAATTCTTTCTCAGAGAAAGAAAATGTTCATCAAAGGCTCTTGATCTATTATTGTTCAGTATAACCACATGTGAAATTAAACTGTGAAGATCTTAATAACTCCGTCACTTTTCCCCATGGAAAAAAAAAAATCAATCTGTAAGGTAGTTCTAATAGCTGTATCTCATGGTCTGACATGATATATCGTTGCTGCTGCTTCTTTGCCTCTTCTGGCTCGCTAAGAATGTCACCTACTGTTCTGGCTGAAGTGAAAACCAAGGCAACTGTGAAAGAGCCAGGAAACGCAGACATATGCCTTCAAAATGTAAATGAGTGTTCTGCCTAGTCCTCCCCCAGCATTAGGTGCTAGTTTGGATTTAAAACCCTGTGCTGTATGAGGTGACTTGCACCATTTCCCATTCCCCTGCTGCATACTGCTGTGCTTCTTTACTGAGTTCTGCTGGCACCTCGTATGATCCTAAACTTACCCCTTTGTTGTTGCTGCTGACTTTTTTCTTTTAAATATTGCCTGAATGTGGGGTCTGAAAATACATGAAGGTTGGCTCAGCAATTAAGGATATTGCCCTCTGTAGTAGCATCTTTATAGTCACCGGTTACTATTTGTTTTCACAGAGCCTGCAGCAGCTGCTCAGCCTGATCCTGAAGAATTTGATAATTCTACCTACAAGAACCTCCAACATCACGAGTACAATATGTACACCTTCATTGATTCTGTTGTGGTTCTCTCAAAATTCAGGCAGCCGCAGCCATCTTCTGGAAGACCATCACCAAGGCACTGAACGAACCACATTTAAAACAAATGTGTAGATCATATGATAAAAAACCTATTTAGCTCTGATGTAGAACCTATTATAAATCAATAAATGTGTGATAACTTCTGTTCGTGCTTTTGAACAGTTCTTGGCTCTTGGAGTCCCTCACTTCTTGATTTCTGTGATCAAGCAACAGATCAATGAATCATCAGTGAATAAAAATAGCTTTTTTACCCCTCAGTGTGTATGTAAATATACACACGTACAAACATGTTTATAAAAAAAAGTGTAAAACTGTTCTGAATTTTCAGTGTTTCCAAATTTTTGATATTTCAGCACTGTGTCAAGGAAAGTAATGGCTTCTGTGGATGTGTCTGTTCTGCATGTGCCATGATGTTAGCAGGTATTACCACCATATTATCAGCAGGTATTATCACCATAATGTGAGCTGCTCTCCTCGCGCACGAATGTGTTCCCGGCTTTACAGGGGTCACATCGAGTCTGGATTTGAATTTTTATTCCTTTTCTCTAAACAGGGTAAGTAGTACTTGTCTCTTGTGGCAACAGTGTATGTGTGTTAGTAGATGAATGTAAATTTATGTAATGTGGCTGAGACATCTCAAAACCTGTGTCAGTGTAAAGGGAGAACACCATCTTCTTCTGCTGAAGGTTCTGGCATCCAGGTTCTGCAGTAATTAAAGCTATATAAAATATAAGAGAATCTCACGGGGCCGTTACTAATGATTTATACTACACTGATTACACTTTGAGAAATAACTTACTTCTATGGCTAGAATCACTTGAATGTTATTTAAACGTGTGGGGAAAAACAGCATAATGGTAAAATCAGCTCCTCGTGCTAATTGTTCAGTGGGACTGCTGCTGTTCCCACTTATTTTTTCCACGATTAAAATTAACATGGCTGCCCAGCTTCACTCTTGCTCTGCAGAAAACGTGAGGCATGAGGCACTTCTCAATATACGTTATCAGCAGTTGCAGTTGGTCTCAGTAAATTTTGTATTTCCATCCTATTAGTAACAGTCTTCTGCCCTCTGGGAAAGCTGCCTTGATGACCACCAGCTGTTGTGGGTTTGGTTCCATTTTGGCTTTTTGTTCATTTTGTGTTTTTTTTGGTGTTAATTGGTCTTCGAGCAGTTGTACTTGCAACAGCTCCAGCGTTTTCCATCACCTGTCTGTATTCTTTCAAGCAGCAGAATATGCGAGATCAAAGGGGACGTGGAGTCAGCGTTAGCAGCCTATCTGGCTAGTGGGCATGAATCCCTGGGTGCAATTACTAGAACAGCTATTTTATGCTCAGACTTGGCAAAAATATGGTCAGGAGGATCAAGAGGCCTACATCAATCCGCTGCTCCGAGTTTCGAGTCAGAAACCTCTGGCGAGCGGTTTTATTGTCCCGTAAAAACTAAAAAGCATATTACTGACTCCAGCTATGAAATTTAAAATCAGCAAAAGCATAAATCCGCGTGCTGAGGAATAAAGAGCAGAGAGTCACTCGGAGCCACGAGTGGCAGCGCGTACGCTGCACTTGTAAAAGGGCAAGAAATCTGCCGTCAGCGTTAAAAAGATGAAAGAATGAGGAAATGGCTCTTCGAAACGAGCTCCCTGACACTTCCCTTATGAAGGGCCCAGCGGAGGGCCGCGCTCAGGCTGCTGTGCTGTCGTGCAGCAAGGCGAGCCCTGGCGTTTCGCTCTGTGCCGGTGCCGAAATGTATTCCTGCTCGCTTGTTTTGTGATGACAGGAGGAGGCTGCGAGCTGTCAGAGGGAATCCAAACAGTGGAAGCAAAAATCAGAGGCTGCCCGCTAATATGCTGATGTGTTGGCGGAGTCTGCTCGCGGTAGCTGTGATCGCTCGCTGCTCCCAGTCGCCTCGCCTGCTTTTTATTTCTGAGGAGGGCTGGTGTTATAAACACGGAGTTAACCAGCTAAGGAGTGGGTTGAAACTGAAGTCTCTTGTTTTCACCCGTTTCCTACGCTTTCCTGAGCTGGATTTGTAGCAGTACTTGAACCCGTATCGAGACGAGGCCTTTTGCTAGCCCTTTTTCATAGCTATAGGAAAAAAAATTAGAAAAAAAAAAAAAAAAGATGAATGCCTTTTGTATCAGTGCAACCCTATCTGAGTGTCTGGTGGTGGTCTTAGCCACACCTCTAAAATCGAGCTGGAATGTAAGGTCAAGGAACTTCATAACCTTTCTGGTACACGCGGTGCGTGTCTCGCATGCGTTTTGTTCAGTGAACAGCCCGACTGCCCTGGCACGGGGGGATAATATAAGGAAGGGCACAGCACAGGCTTTTCCCCACCGTTGTGTTTCCCTGGACTTCAAGGAAAAAAGCTTCGTTTTTTGGTGCTTGACTCCTATCAGCTGGCATTGTGTCTGAGTCATGAGCTAACATTTAAATTCCAGGCAGGATGTGATACAATATGCTCTTATGCTGCGATGTTATGAGAATGAGTGGCTTTGTCTTGCTGTGCTCGGCACTTGTCAGATGCAGTCAGGAACCGTGTTTTAAAGAATGTGTAATCCAGGATATTCACATAATTCCTGGAAACCCTCACATGTGAAAGAAAGAACCCGAGTCACGGCACAGGCTTTGTGAAAAGCAGCTTTATAGAATCGGCGTAACTTCACAAGTGGGGTTTTCAGTGTAGATGGTGTGTTACTGTGGGAGTACACGAATATCCAGAAAGGGAATTCACTAACTTCTCATTAAAAAGATGAAACTCCTACTTGCCTTGTTCAAGGGAGTGATTTTTTTAACCTCAAATCCTCTGAATCTCTTCTAGCATAGCAAACAACTTTCCTGCTAATAAAATTGCTTTCAATTATTTCCTTGCACATGGATCCTTCAAAATTCATTTATGAACTGGACAGCAGTTGAAAACCCAAAATCCGAGGTCCAAAAGTAGTAATGAAAGCAGAGCTTGAGCTGATCACTTCAGGTATTGTAAAGTCAAGGGGTTTTTTGGCTGTCCTTGTGCCTCCTCTGGCATCCAGTCATGGTAACCAGTGCAGTCTACAAGGCCATCTGCAAGATTTATTTTAAATTTGGGAGATGAGCCTTTTAGCTGGTCCACCTACAAATCTTCCAATGCATGTCCCCAGCTTTCAACAAAACATGCTCAATGCAATTGAGCAAATGCAAAAAAATGCAATTGCTCTGGTTGCCTGTAAACTCAGGGGCCATAAAATACCTGCCTTTAGTCTTTTCTCCCACCACATGAGATGCTGCTGGCAAAGCTACTTGTACAATTACGTTGTCTACATTTACATGTGAAGAATAAACAGTGAGAAGTTTGAAGGCTATCTGAAGATAGTTCTTCCTTTAGCTGCTCATGGTGATGGGAACATGAGTTAAGGAGAGTCTTGAGGCTGTCCGAGTCTGCTGAAGCAGACTGCTGTAGCAGAGTGGGACTTTTCAGCTTTTTGCTGATCAGAGTGCTGCAGCTCACAAAAGGGCTCTGGTGGGATTTTGTGGTCTTTGTGGCTTTGGGGATGCTTGTGAGAGCAGCCATTTGTCTGTACCGAATGATTTTATTTGCTGGTGGGCCCAGTCAGTGACTATTCCTGTCCTGTGAGAAAGGTAGTAGAAAACATGCACGTGCTATCCTGTAGGATCATAACCTTAAAATCATGGCAATTGAGGTTGGAAGTGACCCCTTGAGATGATCAGTCCTCTGCTCTGCAGCAGGTGCAATTAGATCACGTTGTCCTGGGCCCTGGCTGGCTGAGTTTTGAGTATCTCCAAGGTTGGAGCTCCCATCGTCTCTCTGGTTACCTCCAGCGTTCCAACATCATCACAAATTAAAACAACAAGACACAGCTAACAACAAAAAAAAAAATCCCAAGCCATCCCATCGTGAGAGTTAACTGCAAAATAGAGTAAGAGGGACGCAGCTCTGTAAATCTGTCGCCCCACAGAATACAGCCTATGGGCTGTGTGTTAACTCCTTCCTAAGGCTCCCAGAGCCCCTGCCAGGTATCTGAGTTAAAATTAGTGCCTAAAATTCTTAGCAGCAGTCTCGGTTTCTCCAGTCTGACATGCACTTCAGCTGGCAGTACCCCTTTCCAAATCTGAGTGTTTTGTCAAGTCTGGAGAGTTCCTAAAGCAGTTAATAACCAGTTAGTTAGAAGTGACCTAATTAGGATTATTCGCGCTTTCTGGTTTTGTTGGTTGGGTCTTTGACGTGTTTTCTCTTTCTGTCTTATCTCCCCCCATCATTATGAGGTGCTTATGGTATTACACTTTGCTGTTTGCAGAGTGGAGACGGATACACTCGGTTTCCAAAATCTATGACAGCATGTTTCCAGCCCCGGAGAGGGAACATGCAAGCCAAGACACCTTGTACTAGGCAAATGCCATTGCCCTCTATCAAAGGAGGGGGCAACACTTACTTTTCCCTGGGGATTTGGAAAAGGACTTGAAAGAGCCACCCCTTTGAGCTTTCATGTCTCATTTTCATGCGCTCTTTTGTCCTAGAAGCATCTCCTATGCTTAATTTAGTTTAAAATCGTGCCAGACCAGACCTTTCTAAACTGTACTGACGCTTCCCCAGCTCCCCTGGGGTGTCCTTAAAAGCGGCCTATATTCTGTTATACTAGGACGGGGATAATTGTGAGGAAAGAAATTCAGACGATAGAAAACAGAAGGCTAACGTAGCAGCTGGGAGCAAGGATGGCCCTTATGGCTCAGGTGTGGGGCTGGCTCCGGGTTCGTTTGCGAGACCCCTGGCTGCCGGCGTAACCTTTGGCAAGTCGCATCAGCTCTTGGGTTCTCGGCGTCGTTTTATAGATGAGGAGTTAGTGGTCCCAGCTTTCTCTTTGTTCCTCATGTCTATTTACAGAGCAACTCGGACTGAAAACTCATAAGAAAATAAAGTGGTTTTTGTTTTTTTTCCCTGCGTCTTCTATGTCGAGCACGCGTATTGTTTAGAAACTCTGAGCTAATTCAGGTTCTCCCAGGAGACGCGGTGCTTGTTAAAACGTTGACAAAAATATGCTACAGATAGCCTACACAGAAATGCCAGCGATTCTGAAATTGCATTTCAGGCAATGGCAAGGCCGTTTAGATGCAAAAAAAAAAAAAAAAAAAAGCTTTATGACTGTTCCAAATACAACTTCCAAATAGTGGAAGACTGTTAACAGACGGGAAAAATTGGGGAGGTATCCAAAACCAGCAATCCACCCTGGTGAGAAATCCAGCTGCTGGGAAGTGGAATGGTGCTGGAATTCATACCAGGTTGTTGTCTCTGGACACCAGTCAATGGCCTCCATCTTTTATATCGCCCTCCCATTAGCAATACGGATCCGGTGGTTTTAAACTCTTTTTCTCTTGGTGGCTGGGCAAGCAGAAGGAGCTTTTTCTCTCGGGTCCTGAGGAAGCTTTCCAAAGCTGTTGTCCAGAGGAGGGACACCACGGCTCTGCCCTGCTCCTGAAGGTGCCTGTGGGGCAGAGACAAACCCACCAGCCTGCCCTTCCTCCAGCTGGTTGCCTCCTGCTGGGCCCTCAGCTGCTCACCTTCACAGCCTCCCTCTGCTCTGAGCATCCTTAGGACTCTTCCCCGAGTGTGCTTTCTTTGGCACAACGCTGGGGAAGCAGCCTGTCCGAAAACCTCAAGACACCCCGTCCCCTCCCTGCAAATTTGAGGCGACTATAAGAAAAAAAAAAAAAAAAGAGAGAACTAAAGGAAAAAAAAATAATAGAGAGCTCTTTTCCTTGATGTTAGTAGTACGTTTACGATTGTGGGGTGGTTTTTGGTTGTTGGTTTTTGGTTTTTGTTTTTTTTTTTTTGAGATTTTCCACATAGCCTTGAGGAACGGGGGAAGCGCTTTTCCTGGATGTTAAGACTTCAGGTAACAACTGCACGGCTCCGGCTGCCCGGTGTCCGCGGGCGAGCGTTCAGAGAGCTGGCAGCACTTCAAGCGACCGAGTGCAAGCACCGTGCTCGCTCCGGGCGTCCCCCTTGCCCTTTGGCTCCCAGCAGCCGTGCTGCTGACCCCTCTGCTCCTCTTCCCCCTGCCGCGGCACGGGACGGGCCCCAGCAGCAGCGAGGAGGCGGCCGGCCGGAGGCTGACTTCGAAAGGCATCATTGCGTCTCCTCACGTCACGCCGGGTAAGTGATCTTTGCCGTCCGACGGGCCAGGATTTTCCTTTTTTTTTCTTCTTGGCCAGGGATGTAGGTGCCGTGCAAACTGACCGCAGAGATTCTGCTGTATCAGCAGGCAAATCTTCCCCTCCATCAGTGGCGAGGTAGCTTTTCAGCCCTGAAACGTAACACACGCTAAGAAAGATCTCTGCTGGACGCCTTTCAAATCCCCTTTAAATGAACTGTTTGTAACCTTGTTAGGATTTTTTTTTTCCCTCATTTTTAATGTTTATATCATTCAAATGGAAATATTAAAACCAGCACTAGCAATAAAGACGGTTGCCAGTAAAATAAACAGTTTGGCCTCTGACTGCACAGAGGAAGCAGACCGACTCAAGGAAACATTTTCTAAAAGTCACTTTTCTAACCGTGAGGCTACCCAAATATAGCTATTTCTTATTTAAAACCTGCACTATTTTGTAGCTTAAATTAATCCACACATCTAGCTGAACGTGGAAGAGCATGTTAATTGACACTCCTCTTCCTCAGCAACACTGAGGAAGGACGCTAGACTGATACACGAATTACAAAGCAAAAGTGAATAGGAAGCAATAGAGAGGTATTTCCGAGGCTCCAAAAAGAGTTTGCAAGCAATAAATAACAAACTAACATGAAATAAAAGTAAGATGTATGTGGGATGCTGGTAAAATTTTGGCTCTGGATGAATCACGTGGAAAAATTAGGATAGGCTTCTCTAATGCCAGACTTTTGCCTTGTCTCTTTAAAACTCTTTTGGTGAAACTCATAGGGAGGTATGTCTTGCCCAGTTTGCATTTACTGTTGTAAAAGTATACGTATGTAGAAGACTCACTGGTAGGGGATCACATATGGGACTCTATCCTTGAAGTCACTAAGCCGGTGAGTGTATTTTACACCTATTTATGTTGAGCGTGCTCAGCAACTTGCATGAGGAATGCCATGTCCTGAAGGGCTGACTTCATAATTTGTGGCTCTGTATATTATTTCCTTAATGAACACACACTTGTGTTTCTTTATTATCATTATTGCTTTAAAGGTTTCAAAACTCCTCACAGCTCCCGTTCCTTTTTCCGTAAGCCCCGCTACCCCTTCTTCGACACTCTGACTTTCTAGATTTCAGATCTTGGCTACGGTGTTGAGGATCAGGTTGCCGGCTGGGGACATCTGGATAGGTTTGAGATCCGTGCATATCATAATCAAATCTCCTAGCTATACGTTTTGAGTCCATGTTTTCTTTCCTCCTCTCTATTTCTCGTTGTCTTGTGTCTTCTGTGTTTGTTTGAGTGAATCCAGTCTCACGCTATTATTATAGAAATGCTTTCCTCACGCACGGTATGATTTTTTATAGCTTTAAATTTGTTTTCTTTCTTTCTTTCCATCACATATTTAAATAGGTAGAATAAGTTAGGTAATACGTACACAGGGACTGCTCCACCATGGAACGGAGCTTTAAGTATCTCTGTTAACACATGCTGCAGCCAAAGAAGTTTACAGCATGCAGAGGGAAAAGGTTATTGTTAGTGTAACTGAATAAGTATTAGGGTTAATATATAATGTATAGGTCTATGTAATGGATAGTTTTTATTCATCATAAAATGTTCAAATGACTTGCAGATGTATGACTGCTGCAGCTGTTGCAGACCTTGTAATGGCATTAGGCTGTGACTCAGAGCGCAGCCCCTTTGCCAAGAGATTCTGGCAGCGGCCGCAGTTGTGATATTCCCATTGAAAAAAGTATTGTCAGCTGTGGAGACGGTGATACAAAACCGAACTGGTGTACGAGAAAGGGGCAAGGCTGGGTCTGGGTACGACGGGAAAGCGAGGACTCTGAACGTTCCTGTTGTTCTGACGTTTTATTGTACCAGCAGCGTCCCGCTGCTATGTGGGGAGCAGCTGGAATTTATAGTCGCTACAGGTTGTGGCTACAGGCAGCTTCTGTTACACTAATTGGGGGAAAACATAGAAAATACCAAACCTTTGATAATACGAAATGCTGTTCCTGGGTTTTAAAAAAGAAAGCTACTGTTCCTAGGAGTAGGTAGAATTGCATCTCACGGTGCGAATGCGGTCTGTTGCACCAGCTTTGCAGGACAAAAGCTAGGCAGCTTTCTGTCTTTGGAGATTGTATGGTCAGGGAATACGCTTACTAGCTGTCAAAAGAATGCCATCGTCCTGTGGATGCACGCAGTACTGTGAAATAGTACTGAGAAAGAAGAAAAAAAAAAAGAAAAAAGAAAAAAAAAAGCATGTTTTGTGTTTGTTTTTGTGTGTCTGATTGAAATAAGAAGAATAAGGAAGACTAATCTCTGAAATAGGCACACATTTTATACGTGGGATGTCATACTGAAATAAGTATACTGGTCTGATCCAGCTTTTCGGTTCCTGCACAACTGGAAAAGCAGAAGCACGATCACTTTTAGAAGGCAGTGCCAGGGTGCAGTGACAATACCCCAAAAGTGGGAACTGAGAGAAGCAGGTCCTAGGGACAAAGCTGAACTCTAAGTCTCTGAAATTTTGAGGGAATATAACCTGCCCATTCAGAGCTTAGTTTATTGCTGCCTTTTCTGATGCTTTAAACTACTGATGGAGCGTGTTGGTTAGATATGGAACGGACTGCAGTGCTGACTCCTGCTTTCCACCGACAGGTACAAAGTCATAAGCAGTAATGTTTCTGGCAGTTTTCAAAGGCCTCTGCAGTGCCATATCTTTGAAGCTAAAGCCACCAAAATATGCAGAATATTATAAAAGTGATGCAATGTGTATGAACTTCACTTACTACATTTCACAAAGGAAAATCCATCCCCTATGCCTTATACGTTAGTAAAAGAGAATGAGTTGTTAATGCTTCTTCTCCAGGGCCTGAAATTCCCTGGGTATGACAGAAAACACTAGGCAGCATGACTGTGTTGGGGCTAGGAGCTGAGGGCTAGCTCTCCCCTATCCAGGGTAACTCATTTGGTCCTCACCAAGGTCTTCTGGAGAACTTTGCTGGGGTCAGGTCATCAGGAAGCCGTGCATGGCAGCAGCAGGTTATTGGGCAAGCCAAAAAATTCACCTTGCCTTAGGGGCTGGGGACTGTAACAGCGAACAGTTTGGAGGTTTTAAGTCTCTCACTGCAAATCTGCACCTGCTCTGGGGGATAAAAGTCACTGCCCTGAAGCCTCCAGGTGAGACCCTGCATGGATCACGAAGGTGGGCCAGCGTCCTGGGGCAGCGCAGAGCTTGGGGAGCAGGCCTCTCGGGACATGCCCGTGTGGCACAAAGCAGCTTGGCGCTGTAGATGCCCGGCTCAGGTCTGAACAGGCCAGTATGTCTCAGAGGAAAGAGCAGAGCTTGGCAGGGGTACAGCATGGATCCCACAAGCAGCACTGCTGGGCTCACGTAGTGCTCGGTCTCCAGCTGACTCGCCTTGCCGCGCAGCCCACCCGCTGACCCGGGCACAGCATGGGCTTGGTATTACTCCTGCTGCTTCCAGAGCCAAAGCTATGTCATGCAGAGCCTGGGTAGGGATCTCTGTACCCTAATGCTCCACAAGCTGTTGATTTGTCCCTTCTTTCCTGGAACGCCTTCTTGCTAATAAACCTTGGTGAAAATGTCTGGGAAGTCTCCTGTACCTCCTCGTCCTTGTGAGGAGGGGCAGGCTTAGGGGTCTCAACTCCTGGCTGGCAAAAGGACATTATAGAAATGCAGTCTGTAAGGGGGTTCAGAAAAGGGAAGGGAGGAGTTAATGGTGGAGAAGACTGTCAGTGTAATGGTGGAGAAGACTGTCAGTAGCTATCGGATGTGATGGCCTGATTGCAGCTTAGGTTTCAGAAAGGTGCTGATCCCCAGGAGCAACGAAGAGACACAAGGGGAAGGCTGATCCCGTTGTTGCCATGTTTCTTGCACTCTTTCACCAAGTGTTTACTGCTGGGACTCAAGGCACTTTGGCCCACATGGTTGTTGTGAGGTGAAGTTGGCAGGAAGCACTGCCCTGCAGTTGAGAATTAGTTGCCAACGAGGTCCCCCTGGTTGGTCACGCACCCATGTGTCAGCCTCGTACCCTGGTGACAACAGCCCTCTGTGTGGAGGAAGAGCCTGAAAGCTCTCCGTTAGTGGGAATGCTGCCCCAAACATTGACAGCCGGCTGATCCAGAGCCTGGTCCAGGTGTGTGACCCCTCCAGAGGGAGGATTTTGTCTCCATGTGGTGTTAGGACTGCGTGTCACACCTGGACTGGCGGCGCGGGCCTGCAGGTGGTGTAAGTCCCACAGCAGGGACCATGGCAGGGGGCTCGTCTGCTTTCAGCCCAGGCGTGGCAGGGAGGATGGGGAGCATTTGTGGATCGCTTCTGCCCTTGGCATTTCCTATTTGCCTTTAGCTCAGCGCAGACGTGTGTGCGGAGCTCAGCTTTTCTTTCGCCTTGTGCTAGGAGCTCAGGTATCTGGCTAGACGGTCACATTAGGTAGCGAGGCACCTAATCCTCACCGAAGGCCGCCTAATCCTCTCAGCTTAATGGCCTTCTACTCCTTCAGATACTCCCGTCTTTCTTTTTTTTCTCTGTTTGCTAAGCAATTGCTTTCTTTCCTCTTCCACTTGTTGGGAGCAGGCTGGCCGGCCGGCCATTCTCCTTCCCCGCTACCAACGCCTCAGTTCTGCTGGCCTCCAAAATGCAGAAACCCATAAAAGCAGCTGGAAGTAAATGAGTAATGGAGAGGAAAGCCGGGTCTCGATGGACTGGAGAAAGTGCTCTGTAGACCACTGTTTGAGAACCTCTCATTAATGCTTCCCGGTTATTTTTTTTCTGCATTTCGCTTTGCTGAATCCAACTCCTGCTCCAGCCAGTGGGAATTGTTCCACTGACTTCTGTGAGAGTTGGATCTAGCCCCTGGTCTGGAAGGTAAAACTAGTCTCACTGGTCTTCTTTTATTTCAGTTGGTTTCACTCTCTGCTTCTCAACTCCCAGAATAATGTGAATGCATTCATAGTCCTCCATGGTGGGATTCATGTAACGTGTCCTTTTTACATTTTTCTTAAAAATAAAACAAACAAGATGTGTATCAGCAATTCCACCCCATTCCACCTCTGTCCTTCTGCTTTTCTGCTCCTCAGCCCTTTTTTTTTTTTTTTTTTTTTTTTTTTGCCCTCCCTACCCCTTCCACAGTGACGTAAATGAGAATATATCTTCCTAAGCATAACACATATTTTGGAAGAAACTTTGCAGTCCAACGACAAGATGCTCTCAACTTTTGGCATCACTAAAAGCAGACGGTTTGCCCTCAGAAGGTAATCTGTTCGTAGTATCTCAAGTGGAAAAAAGGCACGTGGAGTTGTGAAAGATGTTTGTTCCATCACCATGGAACCCCCAGTGCAACTCCCAGGGCAAGGCACCGCACGAGGGGAGGCAATAGCGTTTTCCTACATCACAGTTCAGTCTTCAGCTTTTAAGCATACTCTGTGCTTCAGTGATAAGTTTTTTTTTTCTCCTTAAAATAGAAGTTTGTTCAAATTAACATCTCTGGTAGCCAAAAGTGAGCGGTGAAGAGCGTGGCACTCCAGAACGTACAGAAGGGAGCTTTATCTTAGAGAGCTTTGGGGTTTTATCCTCCAGATCTCCTAAAATTCTTTCCAAGCAACGTGTTAGATATTGGTAATGCAGTGACTCAACCATATAAACAGATGGAGTGAGTAGTATGCAGCCAGTGATTCAGCTAATGTACAGCTCTGGAAATCGCAATTTGATTTAACGAGAGGAGAAATGTTGAATAAGATATAGGATTTATCATTTTTCCTTTCCTGAAGGAGGCTCTTAGTAGTTTGCCTTTTCTCCCGGACAAAGGAGAAGGGGGAAAACAATACAATAATCACTCATCAGAAAGAATGGCATCTTGATCCTGACGCAGAAACTCCTTCGAGCAGGGCTGCACTGCAGTGCCAGCTCTTGGTCCAAGCCCAAATCCTGCTGTGGGACATGAGCTCTTAATTTCTCCAGAGGGAGCGTTCCCAGCTGAGTTACACAGCTCTCTAGCTGAAGCAAAGCTTGACATTTATTTAGACTGAGTTAACTCGTTAATTTCAGCTTTAAAATCTTAAAAGCCATATCCATCATAAAACAAGTCGCACATTTTTCCCAGGCTCCTCCTGTACCACGTAAAGTTGCGGCCGCAGATGTGAACGTGCTGTGCATGCCAACCGGGCGCACAAAGGTTGCTTTTTGGAAAGCTCTCCAAGCAGCCAGAGGATTACATCTAAGTCATTGACGCGCCTGGTTGCAAACTTTCTCCCTAGGCGTGATAAAAGAAGAAACTGGTTTGCCATAGAGTCCTCCCATTGCTACGAGATCGTCACTTCAAATCTCACCTGATTTGTATGGAAATCTGGGGGAAAACCTGCTCTGCTTAGATTATTCCAATCTCCTTGCTGCAATTACAGCCTTTATTCAATAAATTAGGAGGGCAGATTACTGCCACCCGCATAGGAGCCCATCCCTTCTCTTCTATGTAAATGTTTCCTTTGAAAGCTTAATTATGAAAGAGTTGCAAAGCGCACCGTCTAGAGTAATGCTATGTATCTAAAATGAGAAATCTCCTCTTTCTGAATAGGTTTAATGCATATGAATGTTGTATTATGCACGCAGTTGTAACATTTAGAACTTGGAAATTACTAAAAGGTGCCACAGTAATCCTAACCCGCCTAGCAACCGTACGTAGGATCCAGTTTTGCCCTCTGATACGTTTATGCAGTCCTGCTATCAGTAAATTGCAACTGAAAGGGTGTTTCAGAGAAGAGATCTGGGAGTGTGCTTTTCTCATTTGGTGAGACGGGACCTTAATAGCTTAGTGTTTGCAAATATGTGGTCCAACTGTGGGGAATGCTCTTATCTATCTGGGACAGTTCTCAGTAACCAGCGAAGGCCCTGGCTCTGCAAACATATCTGTGCTTGCTTTAAGGAATGAGCTGCGCTTAATGAGCGTATTTAATATGCACAATGCGTAGAAGTAACAGCAGTTCGAGAATCTGAGTATTCTGTTATTTGCAGTTGCCAGCCTAAATATTACTGAACCTAATTTTTACGTGCTTGTAATTTGCAAATACAAAGGATTAAACTGGCATTTTATTCAGCCTTCTGTGCAGCTTGTGAGTTTTCACTAAAAAAAAAAGCAGTCTCACCATCGGACTGAAGTGAGTACACCTAGGCCAGTGGAAGTTCAGAGCACAAAACTACATAAATTATGCAACAATCCTCACAAAATGTGTAGTATAGATGATTCCCTCCCAATAGCTGCCTTTGGTCTTGTGTATTGTACCCTCATCCTTCTGCAAAACTGATGAGGGACAACACACTATGTTTGGATGTTCAGAAATAAAGAAAGGAAAGGATAGCTATCCTTTCCTCTGATCCATTTTTCTTTCTCTCTTTTGTTGTTGTTTACTTGGTTTTATTTGTCTTTGAATTACTCTTCTCAATTACTTCTTCATTCCTTTCCCCTGCTCCTCTCCTTCCAGTTCCTTCTGTTTTCCAAATGTTGCACGCTTCCCTCAAAAGCCTTGCCATTTGTAGTGCCCTTCTTAAATCTGCATCTTCTGGAGTCATTTCAGCTGGTGTATTTTATAAAAGTAAGCTTCTTAGCTTTCAAGCCTGCAGAGACTGTATCAGAGAGACCGCAAGATAAAATGAAAACCAGGCACCTCTCATCAGTGGCTGTGAACAGTGAATTCAGGGGGTTTAGAGATAGGTAGTGGGACGATGCAAGTTAGATCAAGGGTCATTTTTGGGTTACTTGCTTATGGGAATGAGGTTTATGTGGCTATGTCAGTGTGGGTACAGGTGTATTTGGGGATGTATCCATGCCATTTAATAACATCTGAACCTAGCGATTTACCTAAGCACCGTCTTAAGAGATAGGATTAAAGCTGTGCGAATAATGGAGCTCCTGTAGCTTTAACAAAAATGAGTTATCGAGGAGAGATGAGTAGGAATCATCATCCAGAATACTTGCTGGATGATGGGAAGTCTGCAGCAGGAGCTTTTAGGCAACAGAGTGCCCTGATGGAATGAGCCCTTATGCACACCACAGCTTCGGATGAGATTTCGGTCAAAGCTTGCATTTGCCTAGACCCTAAAGTTACCCAGTTGTGAGGCAAGCAGGTAGGGACCTAGGCTTGCTTCGCGCTGGTACTTGGGAAATCGCGTGAGTTAGGATCGAGGGAGTTAGAATGTGTATCTGTGCTACAGAAAGTGTAAGGGATTGAGAAAAAAAAAAAAAAAAAAAAAAACGTGCAATAAGATTAATTACAAAGGAGACCACTAAACGGGATTACTTGGGTGAGGGTAAGGGAACAGTGAGGAATTTCTACACCTGTTGTGTGCGAGGGGGGAGCTGGGGAAGAGAAAGTGGCAGGCAGGTAAAGAAGGGCAAGTGAAGGGAAGCAGCAGAAAGGAAAATGAAAGTTGGGAAAGGCAACAAGAAAGGCTTTGAAGATACCTGTGAGAAAGGATTAAATGGAAACTAAATTAGTCTGCATTTAATCTATTCTTTCGCAGAAGGAATCAGTGAAGTCCTGTCCAAAGAAGCACGGGCAAAGCAGACGGAGAACAAAGGGTTTGCAGGGTGAATCAAATTTGAGGAGAAGGCAGGTCCGGGCATGGGAACCAGTTAATGTGAGGCACTGTTTAGTGAATGTGTCACTAATGAATGTGTCAGGGATGGCGAGGGAGGAAAGTTGTGGTAGGAGAAGTCAGCCTGGCCACAGGAATCCTATGAGAGATGTTGCACGGCACAAGACCAGGAGTAGAGAACGAGGCTTTTGTGAGTAAGAGAAAACTGAGGTGGCTTTTGCTTTTTATAATGTAGTTCCTTTACGTGATTCACGTGAACTTTGGAGCACCTTGGATCAGCCTGGTTCGTTTTCTTTCCCACTTTCCCTGTGTGACGTACGAGCTCCTTCTGCGTTCGCCAGCCTGATGCCACATGGTTCGGCCTGTACCAGGAGAAAAACATCTCAAAATGAACTGTGAGGGCTCTGCATGGCCTCGGGGGAGGACAAAACACCCGTTTTGCCAGCGGACAAATGGTGGCAGTGTGCGCAGCACTGGGATCCCTCGGGACCCAGAGCAACCCTGTCACCGGGCAGGGTCCTGCCACAGCCAGGGAGGCCTGAAGGCAGAGCAAGCTGGTAGAATATGTAAGGAGGTATTTCTATTGCCAGTCTGCTAGCCAGAAAGCTTGTCAGCCAGGCAGCCTGCTGGCCAGACCTCCTCCAGGCACGTTGGAGGAGCGGTGAGGGCTGCGAGAGCCATGGGGCAACTGGCAGTTTGGAAGGGGAAGAGGGTGGAAGGGGAGGAGGTTTGAGGTGGGATTGGGGAAGGGGAAAAGGTTTGAGGTGGAATTGGGGAAGGGGAGGAGATTTGAGGTGGAATTGGGGAAGGAGAATAGGTCTGAGGTGGAATTGGGGAAGGAGACTAGGTTTGAAGTGGAATAGGGTAGAAGGGGAGGAGGTCTGAAGTGGAATTGGGGAAGGGGAGGAGGTTTGAGGTGGAATTGGGAGAGGGGAGTAGGTTTGTAGTGGAATTGGGGAAGGGGATGAGGTCTGAGGTGGGATTGGGGAAGGGGAATAGGTTTGAGGTGGAATTGGGGAAGGGGAGGAGGTCTGAGGTGGAATTGGGGAAGGGGAATCGGGGAAGGGAATAGGTTTGAGGTGGAATTGGGGAAGGAGACTGGGTTTGAAGTGGAACTGGGAGAGGGGAATTGGGGAAGGGGAATAGGAGAAGGGAAATAGAGGAAGGGGAGTAAGTGGGCAGGGGAATAAGTGGGTATCTGCTGTGGCAGTCCCAGCGTGAAGGGGAGTGAGTGGGCAGCTGCTGTGCTTCAGAGGGACCACTGCGCCTGTGTTGGTGCGGAACAGCCTCCTAAAATTTATTTTTCTCCTTCCTCTGACCACTCGCGCCTCACAAGCGGGGTTGAGACACCCCGGGGCCCGACACCCCCTGAGGTGAGGCACCCCCCCAGCGCTCAGCCCCTTGGTACCTCCCTCCCCCCCCATAACGAGGAAGTGGTTTCACCTCCCCTAGCGGAGGGCGGAGGAGAGGGCGTGGCGTACGGCGTGTCCACGCCCCCCCCTCCATGCATATTCACGAGGGGGGACCCGAGCCCCCGCCCCCGCGCAGGGCGGTGAGCAGCGGCGGGGCGTGGCGCGAAGGCGCGCTGGCGTGGGGCCTCGGCGCGGGCGGCCATTGGCCCGGCGCGGCTGTGCGCGGTGACGCGCGGCGCGGCGGTGCGGGTCCCGATTGCTGCAGCCGCTTGTCAGTGTGACGAAGATTGGCACCCAGGTAAGCGCTGTCACTCAAACCCGCGCCCGGCCACACACACACACACACACACGCACACACACACACCACGCACGGCAACCGCGCCGCGCGCCCGCCCGCCCGCACGGCTGCACGGCCGCAGCTCGGGCTCCGGCTCCCGCTGCAACGGCACCGGGAGTGGGGGGGGGGGGGAGCAGCGGGAGCCGCGGCCGGGCACGGGCGGAGGGGAGGGAGGGAGGGAGGGAGGGAGGAGGGGGGGGAGGGGAGGAAGGGGGGGGGGCGCTCGCGCCGCGGTGGAGGGGGGGGGGGGGATGAGGGAGGGGAGGGGGGAGCGAGGAAATTTCTGGAACCGCCGCCCGCTGGCGGGGGCGCGCGAGGGAGCGCGCACGGGGGAAGAAGTGTGTGGGGGGGGAGGGTTAAAGGAGCCCCGCGGGGAGCTCCTCGTCCCCGTCCCCGTCCCCCAGTGAGGGTGTTAAAGGAGGGTTTGGTGGCCCCCCTCTCGCTGAGGCAGCCCCCGCGGGCGTTGAGTTTGAATTTTTGAAAAAGGAGGAACGGTGGTGCCGTTGGGTGCGGAGAGCCCGGCGCCTGCCCCTCGCTGTGGCGCTGGGTTTAACCCACCCCGAGCCAGCAACTCCCTCACCTCCAAAACCAATTCCCAATTCCTTTATCCCCCAAACCACCAACTCCCAATTCCCTCACCCCCAAACCCACCAATTCCCCATTTCTCCCTACGCGTCCTGTCAGCTTATTACCAATCCCATCCATACGTCTCTCCTCAGCGCCCTGCTTACACCTTTCCTTGTCATTTTACGAATAAAACACCTCCACAAAAATCCTCCGGTGCTGCTCGTTGTCACCGACCTGCGTGATTTTGGGGTGTACATTTTTAGTCTGTGTATCCCCAGCTGCATAAATGTCTCTGGCTTGTACCTGCCTCCCGTCTGGTCCCCGTGCAGTTAAACTGCCTCGCTGGGCTGGAGTTTTATCTCCTCGCCGTTTCCTGTGTGCTAATAGGAAAAGAAAAGCCTTCAAGTTTTTTTTTTTTTTTTTTTTTTTTGTGTGTGCTGCCGGTACAGTTTGGAAATAAGACTTATTTCCAAACATATGTATTTGGAGATTTCACTTTGGCGTGTAAAACACATCAATATGCCTTTTATATTAAAGACATAACAGTTTATTCGGATGATTCCTCAATCTGGATAACGTGGCAAAGATGTGGCTTGTCTCTTGAAGTATTCCTATCCAGAAGTAACATGTTAAAACTTAAGTCCTTGCAGCCTTCCCTGAGTGCAACTAAAAAGAGCAGAGTTGGGCGAATGAAGCGTACGTGGTCATGCTAAATTCTCGAGGCTTATGAAGTGGATGTGCCCCCTGGAAGCTGCACTTTCTTTCTTTTTCAGAGTTTTGCTTTTGGCCTGTATTGTTCTCACACCTTAGCCCGTCCTGTAAGTGCAGCGCTGTAGGAAAGTCACAACAATTCCGCTTGCTACTACAGCAAATTCAGAAGCGCGTGAGAAGCAGACGAGTTTCCCAGAACAGTGACTCTTTCTTTCGCTGTTACTAAGCCTTGCTCTGACAGCCAGGAGCCAGCGGCCCGCAAACCCTCTCCTGTGGTGTTTCCATCCCGCGAGGAGAGAGGTGTAGGCTGGCTTGGCTGACAGAGCATTGCTCCGTGCTCCAGGAGCCTGATGCTGCCTCGGCAAAACCGGCACACGTGAAAGTTCAAAACAAAGCAGATTAATATTTTAATTTCGGTGTAAGTGAGGCTGGATCATTGGCGTGTGTGTGTGAAATTTAAAATTCCGCAAATGCTACTTCTGCCTTGCAGCAGCTGGTTGCTTCGGTCTCGCTTGTTGAGAGAGTTGGGAGGTTTACAAATGATAAGTCTCTCGGGGGGTTGTTTTACCACAGCTCGGTGCTGTACAAAATGTAAAACAACTTAGTGCTCTTCTAAGCAGAGGATTCCGAGAGCAAGGAAAAAAGCTGCTGATAGAGTGCTTTCCTTTGCTTGCTCGCTGCCAGATGTTGCCAAAGCATTTTACCCAGCTCATTACAGCTCTGCCTGAGATAATCGAATGCTAAAATATTCACGCTGGTTAGCGGATTCTTCACTCCGATCAGTCAGGCTGTTTCGTGTCACAACTGTGTGGTGTTGGTAGCACAAGTGGAGCTGGAAGCGGGGCAGAAAATAAAGACGCCAAGAATCTGGAAATGCCAATCTTTTTGTTGCTGGAGCATTGCCGTGCTTTGAGGAAGTTGGTAACGGGCAGCAACTTGGGTTCTGTGCCAGCAGCGTGGGGATACTGGGTTGTGTATGTTACCGAAGGATAAAAAGGAAGTCAGCGTTAGAACTGGAAATAAAATTTGGGGCTGCTTGGCTTCACCTACTCACTTATCGTCCTTCATACAAACACACTCGTTTGTTTTTAATGCAGCAACTATTCCTATTCCAGGCCCATGGTCTCTCTTTTTTTTTTTTTTTTTTTTTCCTCCCCTACATGTATGTGTAAAGGAGCTCTTTGATTTTTTTTTTTCTTTCTTTTTTTTCCCTACAGGAAAGCCATTTAAACATGTAAAACAGTCATGGAGGTTTTTGAAAATGGGAGGTCAATGAGTGATAAGCCCATACTGCCCCTGAGCCTGCTATTCAGACAAATAGGGAGACTATGAAGTACTGAACGGGGCAATTTTGTGTATTTATTTATTTATTTACCACTAAACTTCAATTTATACTTTGCTTGTGAGCTTTTCAAATTCTCTGCTTTTTCTCGAGTACAGAGGGAAAATCTGTTTTTTCAAAAAAAAAAAAATCGGAAATCTGGCTATGGTTCACATCCTGCTTAGCTTTTTGCAAACTGCATAGCAAACAAAACAATGGGAAAAAGGGTATTATAACACTTCAGTACTGAAAAAACTAAATTCCAAGTCTTTCATGTTCAAAAGAAACAGGTTTGTAAGACAGAAAGCGGAGCTTTGTGCATGCCTAGAGAATAGGGGAATGAAAACGTGTGCGCTGTGCTCTATGTTTAATAGCTAAAAAACGTCCAGGTCTGTCTCCGCTCACGTAATTCGCATCTTCTAGTCCCACCTGTATGTGTTGTGGGCCACGACAACTTGGGGTTTTTATTGTTTTTAAAGGTGTTTTCAGTAGCTTATTTCTTAGTCATACTGAAATTTGCCATGATGTGTATATTTGAGCAGGGTTATTCCGGAAAGTTTAGGCTAAAATGACTCAGCAGTTTTGAAAAAGACATTAGGAGAAAGTAAATACGGTGACTGAAAGAGGAAGAAAAAGTGTGTGTTTGGCTCAGTTAAGAGCATCTCAGCACTTGGGCTCTGGTATTGAGCGCTGCAGGGGTGAGGGGAAGGAGTGTGAGCGTCGACAGGGTGCGTGCGGCTGCTCCTAGGGAAACTTCAACAAGGTATAAGCTCTGAAAAAATGGTTCAAGTATATTGCTTGGCAAGTGTTTATGAAATTGTCAGCATATTCTGTGTAATGTGAGCGTTGTCCCGTCTGCTGCGCATCACCTGGTTGTGCAGTCATCGTCTGGACCAAGTAGTTGAGCGTGATGCTTCCCGCAGCGGTAGGTGCTGGGTAAGTGCAATCCTGGGTGGTCTGCCTTCAGCTGCACCTCGGCCCCGGGGTGCTCAGGTGGCAGCGGCACTGATGGAGGGATGGAGATTGGCAGTCACGGGGAGATGGGGACAGAGATGGAAGCTTGGTGGGAAAGCAGAAACCCCAGGAGGATGGAAAGGATGGTGCTAGCAAAGCTACAGATGGTGAGAGTGGAGAGAACGAGAGGGCAAGAGGTGGGAAAGAGGAGACCTGATGTGGAAGGAAGAAAGGGCAGGGTGGGAGAGGCAGGGAGCACGAGAGGCTGGAGCGGGGAGCATCTGCCTTGCAGAAAGCGGTCAGACTGATGGCCTCTGGTTCGCTGTGCTCCGCTGTTTGCTGAGGAGCAGGAAAGGGAGAATTGTTGTTTAAATAAATGCCACTTTGAAAAGAAAACAGAGATTTGCTCCGGGGCTTAAGAGTTAGTGGTGAAGTGGGGTTGTTGAGCCAAGCGTTGGAGTCGGAAAGGGAAAGGTGCTGGAAAAGTTGCTGAGCAATTGGAACCAGATCTGGCAGCTGCCGGGCTGGGATTTTGTCGCTTCAGATTATCAGCTAGTCCAAGTTCATGCTTGGTTCATTGACAGGCTCACAAGTCCACTGAAAACTATTGCTTTTGAAATTGTCAAGGACATAAAAATAAAATCATTGACCACGGAGCGTCTCCGCGAAGTCTTTAAATGCCTGAAATGTGTAGAGGGGGGCTTGTTGCGTATTCAACATCTTAAGCCCATTTTAAAGGCAGTTATTAGCTAAATAAAACTCATCATCTTCCTTCAGTTGTACTTCAGTATCATTAGGGATTAGTCTGTTATAGAAGGATTCATTAGAAACTTTATTAGTTTTGTAAATAAGAATGTTGGAAAACTTACAGATGCCTATGAAGTGACATCCTCTGTAAAAGTCCTGCTAACATTGTAAAGCATAATTAATAGCAATAAAGGCATAGTGAGATGGGTTCTTATTCTGGGTCTCCTTTATGAAAATAACTATAAACACAAAACGCAATTTCAGTCATAGCTTATTGGGTGCTGATGCAAGTCTTGATTAAAATCAGACTCCCGGTTCTTGGGTGTAATTCATTTAGTTTAATTCATACGGCTAAGTAGGAAAGTTGTACCAGAAGCAGTTTCAGCTGCCCAACTGCTGCTACATGTCCTCTCGCCTTCAAGCATTTCGTGGTTGCCTTTTTAATGCGGTCCTCCCATCACTACAGCAGCAAGGCAGGCACTGCGCCCTGTTTGATACAAGGTCTAAAATGTCGCAGTGACAGCGTCTTGGGTAAATCTTGAGGGGCAAAATAATTCTTCTCTGCCCTGTAATAAGTAGCTAGGTATGCGGCATCATGATGTGCATGCCAGGATTCACAAACAAGGACCATAACGTCCTTCAGTCTGCAGTATTAAGAATGCAGGGGGCAAATAGCTAAAGGAATCGTCTTTTACTGTGTGGATAGTGGGAATGAATGAGGGAGTGATGGGAAACACTTTTGCTCCCTCCTCCTCTTAATCCCACAGGAGTCTTGGAGCAATTAGAGAAGGAAGGTTTCCTTTCCCCCACATTTGGCTTTCCTTTTACCAAAATTTCCTTCCAGTCCCCTTAATTCCTTACTACTTCTTTATGGAGCTAATAAAGCAGCATTGAATTACAGTGTGAAATGGGTAGGAGAAACTGAGATGCCGCAGGAAGTTGCTTGAATTTGAGTCTTAATACTCGGAAGAATGAAGTTTTCATGACCATGACGATTACTTTCTGCAATGCCAAGAGCTACCTGGAGACAGGATGCTTAGGACGCTGAGACGACAGTCTTTTACGACCAGATTGGAGTAGGATTTCTCGTCTTTCTTGTAAAGAAGCACTATGGCAAACTGACAATTACATGAACCATGATTGTGTGCACTTCCCCAAAAATGAGTTGGTGCAGACCTGAAGGACATATGCAGAATTAAGGAGCTGAAGACCCAGCTGCCCTGAATTCTGCTTCCATTGCTGTGCCTTGAGAAATTTGTTACCTTACACATCCTTAATACCTACTTTATCAGTTACTGCATATGCAACTGTAGCTTGTACTACAAAAAAAAAAAAAGTGCTACTTTTTTATACAGTACTTTTCTGTATTTGGTACCTACAAATGGGAGGATTTCCAGAACCCCTTTAAAATACAGAGAGCAGGGTTTGCTCAACTTGTGTGAATTGCTAAAGGGACACAAGTCTTTTCATGAGGTGGTTTGTCATTTATCATGCTGCGTGGCAGTGCGTGGTGATGCTTGGAAGATAAAAGCCTTTGATGCAGATTCTTTGTATGCCTTGTTAAATTATCACATGGGATGATTGGAAAAAAGGAATGCAGTGGAGAATTAACGGGACAAGAAGGCGGTACATACAGTATTGGAGCGGTCCTGGTGAAGGAAATCAGTGTTATACAGTACATACATTCAAAATCTTACATGCACAGGGAGGTTAATGATAGGTTGCAGCCTGTATTTCTGAAGAAATTCACCTTTAGCAGTGAATTTTAATTTATTTTTATTTTTCGGTTTCTTAAAGTATAAGGTGCATTCTTTTTAATTTAATCTCATCTTCATTCAGATCAATACATAAATAACTTTATTGCATCACCAAACAATCAAGGGGAAAAAAATGACACAAAGTAAATCTCATTTTACTGCAGCAGAAAATTGGTTTGGGGGCTTTTTTAGGGCTCGTCTCCCAGGGAAATTGACAGAGGAGCTGTTGTGTAATAACTGTTTAGCTGTATCTGGGTAGTGCAACTCCCCGAGGCTGGTATTATATTCCTGAACAGGAGCGTCGTCTTTCTGAAAGTGCAGTATTTCTAAATAATGACCGCACTGCGAAACTACAAAAGACAGAGGAAATGAAAGCCACCTTGCTCCTGAATACGGCCCACGTTCTCGTCAAGCGCAGTTTTAATAAACTTGCATGCAGCAACTTCACGTTGGTTTGGTTGTCTTAATTTTACTAACCATCTCTCTGTAGGCAGGTTGATGGAGATAAAGACCCGTTGCAGCAGGGCTAGAATGAATTTCTGCCTGCAAGTTGTCATATGTACTCCACATTTTCCTTCATTATTATTATTTGAGTCTATAAACATATCAGTGTATCTCACCCTTAATATATGTTAATATTTGTCTATATGACTGTATGCACAGGTCTTTGTTTCTTCCTGCCATGCAAAATGAGCGTGGTTGAGCAGAGGCTTCATTTGTGCTTGAGTGAACAAGGCCGTATTTTACCTTGGAACAAAAAGCTTTAGCTGTGATACAGTTTTCAAGTGACAAAGCAAGCAGCCATCTGTTGTGGTGTTGTAGCTAACTGTCTTCTCTACCTTGATAACGGGACTTCAGAGCTCGTCTGCAAGAGGGGTAAGAGGAAGAAAACACGTTGGCAGTGGTAATTCCAAGCTTAGGCCCCACAGTGCCTTGATATGATACTGTCCCCAGCCTTTAACACCACGTCTGCTCCCTGTTCTTGCCTCCTCTGAGACAGATGGGAGGACAAAACAAGCAAGCTCGGATCTCAATCATTTTCTCCTCTGATACATTTTAGGGTAGACTCTGTAGTCTCAATCTCTCTCAGGTGTCTTTTGGAAGGAAGCAATAAGACTGCAATGTTCTCTGTCTCCTCAGCCAAACCTCTTCCTCTGTAGCATCTTCCACCTGGGCCTGTGTTTCTTGAGTACTTCCTTCTCCCCCTGTACTCGGCTTTTCCCCCTGTACTCGGCTCTGGTGAGGCCGCACCTCGAGTACTGTGTTCAGTTTTGGGCCCCTCGCTACAAGAAGGACATCGAGGTGCTTGAGCGGGTCCAAAGAAGGGCGACAAAGCTGGTGAGGGGCCTGGAGAGCAAGTCCTACGAGGAGCGGCTGAAGGAGCTGGGCTTGTTCAGCCTAGAGAAGAGGAGGCTCAGGGGTGACCTTATTGCTCTGTATAAGTACATTAAAGGAGGCTGTAGCGAGGTGGGGGTTGGCCTGTTCTCCCATGTGCCTGGTGACAGGACGAGGGGGAATGGGCTAAAGTTGCGCCAGGGGAGTTTTAGGTTAGATGTTAGGAAGAATTTCTTTACTGAAAGGGTTGTTAGGCACTGGAACGGGCTGCCCAGGGAGGTGGTGGAGTCACCATCCCTGGAAGTCTTCAAAAGACGTTTAGATGCAGAGCTTAGGGATATGGTTTAGTGGGGACTGTTCGTGTTAGGTTAGAGGTTGGACTCGATGATCTTGAGGTCTCTTCCAACCTAGAGATTCTGTGATTCTGTGATTCCTTCTGCCCTCGATTGCTCATGCACGTGGTCGGGAGGCTTGCTGATACCAGCTGCAGGCTTTGCCAGGAAGGGCCACTTTCTTATTTGTACGTGCTCTATTTCTTGAGTGACGCAGTCTGGCAGCAGTGGTGCGCGGGGTTCATTGCTGCGGTAGTTTCTGAGTGGAAGGAAGAGCAGGCTCTTCAGAATGATGACATGAAGTGCTCCTTTAAGTCCGAGCAGAGACAAGGCGTGGATAATGCCCATTTATCTGGCAGTGACCTACATTCAGAAGACTATCTGGATAGTGAGACGTCCTGTATTTGAAAGTAGCCCTGTAAGTTGAGGTAGGTGAAAACGAGTATCAAAATGACAGAATGTGGATAGTGTGTGAAGAAGGGGTGCGGTGTCTTCTCATGGCAGAGTTGAGAAGCTCCAAAAATGAGAGAAGGCCATTCCTGGGGGACACAGGTCTTTGAGAGCTTTAGAGAAAGCAGTGAGAACTAACACCTCATCCGCCCTTCGAGGCTTCACGAGTGGGTACGCCAGTGTGGACTGAGACTCCTAGCCCAGTAGTTGATCTCCAATCAGTGACTATATCACAGGCTGCCTTATCGCTCCCCTGAGTGTCTTCCCAGCTCTTCCAGAGCGAGGCTTCATGTACTTGAGATGGCATCTGTATCGGATGGCCTTTAGCATTTTGTTTTTCTGTGAACTCGCCTGAAAAAACATTACTTGTACACTACACACAGGTGAATTCTGGTTCTCAAATGTAAATACCAACTTCATCTCGCCTTCAAAAATGGCGTTATCTTTGTTACAGGTTTTATACAGATGGCAAAACTGGGAACATGAGAACTTTTTGTGAGAAAGGGAGATAGTCCAACTCAAGACCTCAGCTGTGTGTTTTAGCCATCATATTGTTTGGGTTGGCCTGTGTACAACATTAGTGCCAGGAACCTCCCCTGAGATAATTTTGCAGGCTTTCTTTAGTGCTTTTCAGCAGTTGTGTTTTCTAAATGCTTTCACTATCCTTGCTGCTTTGCTTGCACAATTGTTACTGGTCTGTAAAGTAGCTTTAATGTGTCATGCAATGTGAAATAAAATAAATAAAAGTAATTTTAAGTGATATTTTTCGAAAGCTTTTAAGATGGTTGAATAATTCTGTAGCAGAACCTGCCTTCTCTGAACATACGGTACCAATGATGGCTCATGCTCCTTCGTATGCTGCTCCTTCTTACCTCGTAGCAGATTACTTGATTGTAGCCATCATTAGAATACATTCCACAGTCAAATCAAAGCATGATTATGAAGGAGACTTACATTGGGGGAAAGAAGAAAAAAAAAAAGTCTTTGACCTTTCTTGGCTTCATGCTGAATTTTTATGCAGAACTTCCTTTAAACCACTGATGAGTTGTTCCTATTTGCATTTTGTAGTTTTATTTTGGGATGTGTCTTGTCTAGTCGAAGCAGACAGACAGTGAACCAGAGAGTGAAGAATTCAAGTGAAGATTCGAGAGCAAGCAAGTCAGCAGTCCAAACACAGCTTTCTGTTACAGGCATCAGCAAAGACGAAGATAAAGACGAAGAACGAATGTAATACCATCAGGGGCTACTATCCCCAGTACTGTGGGACAGTAGGGGTGATACAGGTTATTAAAAATGCAGAAAAATTGCAAAGAAAAATTCCTCTCAGTTTGCTTCTTCCTTCGGTGGAAAACTTTTCTTTCATCATAATCAGTCTCAGAAAGAATGTTTCATGTCGTTGTCTCCTCCTGAACCTTTCTCTGTTGGTTCCTAGGTTCCTGCCCTGCACCTGGTCCGTCAGTGGGATTCCCTCTGCCGGGATGAGATAATGGCGTCTTCAGCCCGCTGAAGGAAGGAGAGGGGTGAGCAGCTTTCTCCCAGCAGGCTTCTGAGCTCTTTTAGAAAGCTGTGTGCCATGGGAGCAGATATCACTCTGCATTTTGATGCCAAGCAAAGCAGTTCTATATGCTTTTTGTGCATCAAACAGGCTTGAGGTTTTGATTCTATTTAACTTTGTTGAATTGATTATAAGGGTGTGTGTTACACAGCAAACGCCAGGGCTCAAGTTAAGAACGAGCGAACAAATAGCCATACTGATTCTGCCTGTCGCCCGCTTCTCTCTGAAGTACTTCAAAAGGACGTATATAGGGGAAAATTAAAAGGAATAATTATGTGTTAACAAGTCAGTTGGGTAGTTTCTTCACAACCTTCAGACAGTTAGTGGCTGGTTTATACCCTGAAGCATAACTATTTATATCTCTTACAAACATCTGTTGTAGCTTGTATATGTTAAAAATGATATTACTGAACTCCAACAGCTTACTTGCACCTTCTGTTAACGTTACTGGGTGGTCCCTATGCTCTTAATTATGAAGGGGTAAGTAGAGCAAGTGAGGAGTGATGGACGTGAAGTAATCACTTTGAGTACGTGTTTCAGCTCACCTTTAATCTTTTTGCTTAGACACTCTTTAACTTGCACAGGCTGCACATTTCTAAGTATGATCACCCCTCTCGATTTAGCTTCCTTTCTACTCTACGTTTTACCTCCGCGCTTGTTTTTATTTAAAGGCTTGAATTGTTTCCCTTTCAGTTTGTTTTGCGAAACAAAATGCTTTCACGAATTCCCTTTCTCTGCAGATGTCAGTGGTGTTTCTGGTTGCAGTTCATGTGTCAGCTTCCAGTTTACATGAAACATTTCCTTGCGTTTTGTTTTCAAACTAAATAAAATGAGGTTAATTCTGTACTGCGTGAAGCAGACTGGCAGACCCTCTCAGCCGCCGGCTATTTTTGTTGTCTGTAACTCTTTGAATGTAACACAACTGCACTGTTTTCCTTCTACTCTCAATTTCTTTCACGAAGAATAATTGGAATTTTTAAAACTGAGCTGGCCAGGAGTCATGTGTGCTTAGGCCCGCTTCAGATACCTTAGGCCATATAGCGTTAGGCATAGCCGTGCTGGTTAAAGATGGTCCTGCTGTGAGTTGATAATCACCACACATGAACCAGAAATTACCACACTCGTAGGTCAGCCAAGAGCAGGGGTTGTGTGAGTGCACAGCAATGTGCCTGAGACAAAGTCAGCTGGTTTGCATCATAGCCACCTTTAACAGTGGGTCGAACTAGCCTGGCTGACTTTATGTAGAAGGGCTCAGCCGTTGTTCACGTGCTCGCGGAGCTCAGGGGTAGGGCTGTGGAAGCAATTAGCTCTGGCAGGGTGGCAGTGATAAACATCTGGGAGTGATACCAGCTTCATCTAGCATCGCTGCTTGCAGAACGAACATCTGCTGAGGCTGTGTATCTGCTAACTGGAACTGGGTGCCGGATCCTAAATTAGGTTATAAAAGCCAAATGTGTAAATACCTTTTCAGTTCTTTTTCTTGAAGTCTAACACAGTTTGTTTCTAACCACTACTGGATAATGAGGAGATGTTTCTCTTTAGTGAACTAAAGTAATTCCTCAGTTAATTGCCTCAATTTAAGTGTGTCATTAGCTCAATTTGTTCTTCTTGATTTGCAGTAGTTGTCTTCACTAAATCTCATCAGTTGCTATCTTGCCTAATAGCTTAATCTTCCTCTACTGTAATTATAAGTCAGAGGGGAAGCTCTTATGGGAAATGAAGAATATACCCACGTAGAATCCTTTCCAGCCATTCCACTGGGAGAGAGTGAGGCTGTTTGGAGAAATTGCGCATCTAGCTCAAAGCTGCTAGCTAGCTCTTTCTTCCATCCTTCACGTGGACTGAGGTCGTTTCCAAACGCGGAATGTCTCTTCCTCCTGGAAATCTAGAAGGAGGGGTCAGTCCAGAAATTCTTGCCATTGTCTATTGTCTTCACCTCTTCGGATGCGTTATCTTTGTTGTTTCCCTCTTCATGGTGTTCTTTGTGTCATTAATATTAGCTCTCCTCTTCACTCAATCTAAGGCATCCTAAGCGTACACTTCTTCAACTGTTTTACCTCTTCTTGTTTCCTCATTTCTGAGAACTTATCTTTCTCCCACAGTCAGACAATTTCTTTAACGACATTTTGTGAGTGAAACCACTTCTAAATAATCACCAAATTGTGTTTACTGTTTCCTTGTTGACTGATGAGTGTGCTCTGCTGAAATGCTCTGTTTTGATTTTGAGGGTAGTCTGGTGTGTGCTTCTGATATCTCAGTCAGAAATGAAACGTGTGCCTTTTGGGGAAGAAAAGCAGGATTTTGCACGTGCCTCTTTACTTTGTCAGTACAGTCAATCATTAACGCCCTGGTTGTAAGCTATCATTTCTGAGAAAATAAACACTTAAACGTAATGTAAAAGCTTTCAGGGCTGATGTTTTAGCCCTTATAATGTGTTCCCTTAAAGTTCTCTTGGAAAGATACCTAAGCCTAAATACCTGATTTAACTTTAACATGGAATGATTCATAGCTAGTAAAAAAAAAAAAAGTCTAAGGAGAAAGTGTGGTTTTGTAACACTTGTGTAAAAACTTAAAAGGTATTCTTCATGCTAGTGTCAGCGTGAGATTTGGGATTATGGGGATTGAGGATCTTGTTCTGTTGATGGTTTTTGTCTTTATTAATAAATGTAAGCTAAGTGTTTGTCATGAGGCACAGACAGACCAGTGAAGCCACATGACAGAAGGGATTTTGGATCCCTCCCCAGGGCTGTTTGTATAAAGAAACAGAATATTAACATTTGGGCTAGAGTTAGTTCACTTCATGTGTGAATACCGTGGATTTGGTGTATGTTACAACCACACACAAACGCCGTGTGAGGCTTTTGGCTCATCGAGGCACGACTTCTGGCAGGAAGTTTCGGGACTGCTGCTCGAACCAAAACACTTCAGAGAGCTTGGCTCCTACGGGGTGCTGGTTGCCACCAAACCGCAACCAGACAACACTTGCCTTAAAGCTATTAGAAGAGCCCTGCATGCAATCTTTATTCTCTTCTTCCGTCAACTGCATTCTGAAGAAAAACATACTCCAGCGCAGGAGTTCCCAAAGCCCCGCATACCTTTTAGCTACAAGGCTGCAAGCTGCTTCAGGCAATACGTGCATGTTGTCTGCAGACAGAAACTTGTTCAGCCATGCCGTGACCCTGTGCCAGAACCGAGCTCGAAGAAGGGTATCTTGAAATTTGTCCTAAACGAAACCTTTTACATGTGACTGCTATTATCCGCAGGAGATACAGCTTTCCAGAACTGTGAAAATTACTCTTCAAAGTGGTCATGTATAGTACTAGTATGCAATGGTTAAGGAATGATTTGAAAACAGTTTAGGCATTTGTAGTGATTGAACACATTACAAAGAAAATAGTTCTCATTTCAGATCTTAGGCTGGTCAGAATTCTAATACCTCATTCCTCAGTGCTGATAGAAACAGAAGAGAGCAGGAAACCCGGAACGAATACCTGGATATAATCATTTTAAAGCATGAGCTCTGACTTTTTTTTTAATACGACTATTTCCATAGTAGCTAAACATTAGGACTCCTACATGTCAAGAAAAATTGAGCTCCATGGTAATATTTAATGGTAACAGCTTAATGGATTGGGCAATTTGTATTGTAGTGCCTGCTAATCTGACAAGAAAATTGAAAGTAAAATAATAGTTTGATGGACTTTTTTTTTAAGCTCATCTAGTTACCAGGCTCCAACTAATTCTTAGAGGGAATGACAGGCATACATTTATTTGTTTCATAAATCTCACTGAAATTAATATTTCCCAAAGTATTAAATGTCTATGAAAACGAGACTTGTGAATTCCTAAGTTGTTTTTCAAAGTATATAACTTCACAGGCCCAATTGTTTAAAAATAGTTAGGTATTCTTCCATCCTTTGCCGAGCCTTGCATGACTTGGATAGTAGATTGCTTATTTCAGAAGTGATTTGAAACTTAGCTTTCCAAAAGTAATCTAGAGCCCTAATTTTAGAACATAAGATTCATACTCATGAGTAAATTGGCATTCCTTAACACTTCCTACATTTGCTTCATCACTGCTAGTCTCAATACTTTTTTCACTTACGGGCCAATGTGGTGTTTGTTAGCCTTTACAGAACAAAGAAACAAATCTTTGCTCCTTTCTATATTTTATGTATTACCTTCAATAAGTTAGCATTTATTTTTGCAGTGCTTAACTAAAGTTCACCTGAACTTTATGAATGTAGCAGTACCTCATCCTCTGATTAAAAATCTAATGTTAAAATATTAAATGACAAAACGAATGTTTTAGTGATGAAGCCTGTTGTGATTTCCTATGTGGCATTTCATTGAGAAAATACACGTAACTTTCATTGTCGACAGACTCACTGATTTATTTTTTTTTATTTTGGTGTTATAACTCTTAATGTATTTTGTATCTTTTGCAACTGGATTCAGTGGTCACTTTTGTAACGGACTTTTTTCTTTTTTTCTTTTTTAAAGAATAGTTGTTCATACTTATGATGCTTTGACATAATTAACATATTCTTAACCATGATGGCAACACAGACATTAAGTATAGACAACTATCAAGATGGACAACAGGTAAGTGTGTTTTTCTTTCTCCATGAACTAATACAGTTAGCAAGAGAAGGACCTAGTGACTTTAATGCCTGCTTTGGCATTATTTCAGTACCTGCTGTTACTTGTAAAAACAAGATCTTTACAGTGATGAGCTAATATTCTTTAATATTTGAAAGCTTTTATTAAAAACTTTCAATTAAAAGTTGATCTTCGCGTGACTTCGCTTAACTTCTGGAAGAACGGTTAGGTAAGGGGGTTTTCTTCTGATTCTGCTCTGGATTGTGTGCTGTAATGTTCTTATTTTTAGGAAAGTCAGGTGTGCATCCTTAATATTTTGAGTACACGATTCTTTGGTGTTCCTGTGTGTCTGCAATTACAATAGTCAGATGACATTTAGGCAGCCATAGGTATCTTGGTCTTGAGCAATGAAGTATAAATTTAGTTATCTAGAACTATCTATAGAACAATCTGGTTATCTAGAACTATCTATAAATTTGGTTATCTAGCATAGCTATTATTTGCTAGTTTGAGTTGCAGCAATGACAATGCAGACTGAAAACTGGTAAAATACTTCAATTACTGTAAGGAGGTTACGAATAAGAATTGCTCTACCAGTCTTTTATTTCTGTTAACAGCAAGAATTAGGAAGCCTAGTAGGATATGTCCGGACATGATGTTTCTTTTTTTGTACAACAGGCTGTGTATTGCAACGATTTGAATTGCTAAATTAAAATACTGTTAATTGGAGACAAGTCATGCTAGTGGCCTGTACTCTGAAGACCCATTTTTACGTTACTGTGTCAGCCCTAAGCAGTAAATACCAGTACTTCTGTCAGCAGATGGCAACAGTGGTGAACAGTCAGAAGAAAAACGGCAACTTTTTCCATCTCTTATAAAAGAAAAATGTTTATCTGAATGCAGTCTGAGATTATTGCTTTTTTGTTGTTGTCTGCTGTTTTTATTGCAGTTCTAATTTCTTTCTCTTCTCACCTGCCTTACATCTTTTACGTTATTCTCTCAGCAAATACATGCCACTCTGTGTCACTTCAGTGAAAGTAGGATGTGGTTTTATATAGAACAGATTGGGAGAGATCATTTTCTTTCCATTTGTTTTGTGCTTTCAACTCTGTGACCAATATAGGCAGGTAATTTTGGTGCCTGCTTCTTTTGTAATGTAGAAATGGCCCACAGAAAATAGCTCACAGTTTGAAGTGAGTTCTTTCTTTCCTCTTCCTGGCAAGGTAGAGCCCTAACTAAACACAGTCTCCACCTTCAAAGTCTGCAGATGTGTGGCTCAACATTTATAATCACATGTAGGAGTCACCCCCTCTTTTGCTCCTCCTTCTTGTCATTAGCCAAGAAATATGTTCATTAAATTGCATCATTTTTGCCAGCATTCTGGCTTAAAAATCATCTCTGCTTGCTGAGGAAGCTTTTTACGAGGTAGGATGCTGCATTGGGTTGGACACTGTGTCGTTTGCTCAGGTTCCTATTTTGCATGAGCATGTCCCTGACAGGTAATAAAGCACACGCCTTTCAGTTCTCTCAGGCCCTCGCTGGGGTGGGGTAACTGCCTTTTGCTTCCCTTGTGTGGAAATAGATGAAGTTGTGTCAGAGTCAGATTCTCTGATAGTTCCTGGAGGGCAGCTCCCCTCCCTCTCAGAGGGTTCCTGTGACGTGTACATCTATCAAAGGGGGAAAGAGGGCAGAGGATTGCAGTCTTGAGTCCATTTTTAAAGCTGTCAAATCTGACTGCATGGTGATACCTAGAGTAGCATCTGTCTCTGCTCCAGACAAAACTTGTTAGGGCTACAGCAGAAAAGATCACAGCGACCTCTTGTTTTGTACAGAAGCTGCTGGTGCTCAAAAGGGAAAAAAACGAGGCATTGGGTTGTGGGGGGACGACTATGACTCCCCTTCAAGGTACCACTTACTTACTTAAAAGACATTTAACTGGGGGTGGTGGGGAAAACCACTTCCAACACCTGGGAAGAGCCTCCAAGGCGTTGCCAGCCACCCGGTGCAATGCAGGATGGGCTGGGTAGGAGCTGTGGCTGTACGTTGTTTGTCCAGTGGTGGCAGATTGTGGTGCTGTGCTCCGAAATACACCTGGTGAGGCAATCGGGGCTTTGCAAACAAACAGTTGGACGTGTGGATGCTAACAGAGGGGGAGGGTGGAGGCAAGGGGCAGGAAAAAGCCATAGGGAAGCAGAAAAGCTGTCCCCTGGAAGACAGGTGTTCAACTGCAGCCACGCCGCTAATGGAACAGCAGCCTGGAATTCAGCAGTTGCTGACCCCACAGGTGGGATCAATAATGGTAATGTGAGGAGGTATTTCACACAGTCACGGGGACTATGGAGTTATTCAGTCTTTTAAATAGTTCCATAGGTCTTTCTATTTTTTTTCTACCTTTTTGCAGTTTTTTCTTGCTCCACTCACTTGCTCACCGTCAATCCAGACAGGTTTTTTTCCATCTCATGGAAATTTATTGCTTTAGACTGACAGCTTTTACATGAGGTGACTAAATTTGTCTATGAATATGTGAATTGCATTTAGATAAACTGACAGATAGTATCTTTAAAAATTCTTCTGAATGGCAGGTACTTACCCCCCCTCAAAATTTGCCGAAATGTTTTTGTTAAATGGATTTGTAGCAGCAGTTACTACTGTTTTTCCAGAAGCTTGATGTTCCTAAAATGACTTATTATCTCACTATATAAATTTGGTGAAAGTTATGCTTCTGGTAACTGAGAGATTGGTAGGACAACATTTTAGCTTTCTAAGAAAACATGCATTTTAATTGGTAAGAAAAACTTCAGGATCTCTTTTCTCCTGTATCCTGATACAAAGTACAAAAAGAAAAAAGAACTCTCAGCGTAGCTTTTCTTTCCTGTTGTTTCCATCCTAAAGGGTTTTTATGTGGACATCTTTGTAAGATTTTTTGAAGCATTGGAGTCTAGCCTGCTTCAAAAATCACCACTTCGAAGACAAATGCTTTAACAATTTACTAATATCTGTATTTCCAATTTCGAGCTGAGTGCTGTAACCTGAAATGACCTTTACACCAACCATCAAAAAGTCTCAAGGATTAAAAGAGTTTTCTTGTTACTGCCGTGGCTTTTTGTATAATTGCCAAGTCATACCAACCTTCTGGCAATTTAGTAGCCCTTTGCATTGATATTTCCTTAGAAAACAGTACACTTATTTTATGTCAAGCATACAGATCTACAAATAATTTATCCTTTTTCTACAGATGCAAGTAGTAACAGAGTTAAAAACTGAACAAGATCCCAACTGCTCTGAAACTGATGCAGAAGGGGTGAGTCCTGCCCCTGTAGAATCTCAAACGCCAATGGATGCAGACAAGCAGGCCATTTACAGGTAGTAATGGACTCATGCTCTGTCTTTTGAAGGGTAAAGAGAGGTTTGGTTTTTCGTTCTTTTGTGGTTTTTTTTTGTTTGTTTGGTTGGTTGTTTGTTTTAATAGTATAGGCAGCTTAAAATCAGATGATATCTTGGCTATCTGTCTCAGTAGTAGTATCCAGCAAAAGAAGGAGATCACATTAACTTCACTGTTATTATTTATCCAAAAAAACCTTCCATTTATTGTGGGATTCTTTCTATTTCAGCATAGTTTTAGCGATATTCTAAAGCTGGCTGCTTTTAAAGAGCAAGTGCAATATAGCGAGCTATTCAGACCGTTGAGTTTGTTATAATGTGGTTTTTGTTTTTAATGTGGGATTTTATTGTAATTAGGTCAATCTTTACTCCCTTTTCTTCAGGGGTTACAATCTATTGTCCAGAAATTAACTCAAACTGAATTAAATGTTGATGTGTAAACATAATAATTTGAGATTTTTTCCAGCGTTAAGTGCTGTGCTGAGCAATACAATCAGTTTTGATGAATTTAAGTATTCTTTCATTTTTCTTCCATTTTAAATGCTTTATACACACAATTATTACCAGTTTGCAGGTTAAAAAGTAGTAAGACATACCCACTCATCTGCAGATTTGTGCTGACAAAAGCATCTTCTGCTCTGAGCCATTCTAACCTATTTCATAGGAGGCCTCTAAGTACAGCATACATGCTGTTGCCAGTTCTGTGAAGTTGTGATGTATAAATAAGGCCCACGTTGAAGAATAAATGATTTATTTATTCATTTTGGACTTCAAATAAGCTTAAATCTCTATGCATCCTACTTGTAAGTCTTAATCCCCATTTCTACTGTGCTGCATTTGATGTATCTCAATTTGCCACTCAATTACAGTAAATGAAACAGCATGGCACAGCTCTTTAGATTGTGATGGTTCTGTTTGTTTAAACAGACTTACTTGGCTGCTTTACTTGCCTCTAGGTTGTGTGATAAGCCAAAACGGAAAAACAAACTTTCATCGCATTCTGCTGTAGCCAGTAATGTCATGTGCTTTCTCCTCCAAGACTTGTCTCTGTTTCTTGTATGAGTGGCTGTTACCTTAAGCGAGCTAGATAGCTCTCTTTTTAGTAGTGTACATAAGCAAAAATACTTATTCATCTATTTTAACTTTCATTCTAGGCACCCACTATTTCCCTTGTTAGCACTATTATTTGAAAAATGTGAACAATCTACCCAAGGCTCAGAAGGCACAACTTCTGCAAGTTTTGATGTAGATATTGAAAATTTTGTAAGGAAGCAGGAGAAAGAAGGAAAACCCTTTTTCTGTGAAGATCCAGAAACTGATAATCTGGTAAGTGTAAACTGTTCATTTTAGTTCTGAAAGAATCATCATGTTTGTCTCTCTTTCTTAATTTCATGTCGCAGTTGGTGCTTATACTTTCCGCTCAGTTGTTTCTTCCTATAAAGGTTATTTTTTTATTATGTTAAAGCTGAGAAACAGTTCCCATCCCTTTTTTTTTCCTTTATCTGTAAACTTTTATTAGATCTTACACAGTTGTTTCCCATATGGGTTTCTAAACTGGCTGATCAGTGTACTAGGGATGAGTAGAAACATCTGCTTTCCGTAGCCAGGTTGACTCTGCAAATCAATTTTAAATTGTTGAGCATATCACATATGTTTATCAAAAGCATACCATGGGTGTAAGTTTCTTCAACTTTTTCTTAATCAGGATTCATACAGTTAACGTGGGAGAAGAGCTGTTCATAAGATGAGCTTAAAAACTCTTTGGCATGTAAGAAAAATGTCTGTATGTTGTTGTCTTCATTCAGATTTCTGAAACTCCTTCCTGGGGTGAAGTCATTTCCTTGGTCCCTTAGTCTCCCTCTTGAATTGTATTCTCTAGAGAACACCTCTCTTGGCTTGCTGGTTTCTAAACTGTCTACTTGCCTCCTTCGCTTTAGAGTCATGTTGCAAATCAATTTTGTCATGTTCAAGAGTTACTAGAATTATAGGGGTCAAGTGTTTATCTACGGGGCTTTGTTTTGTTTTGGAAAACCTGTTCCTTGAAGGTGACTGTGTAATAAAACAAGTCTTTGTCTTTGAGTCTACTTCATAGGAGAAAAAGCTACTTAAACTGTCGAAGTTCACAAACAAATCTAAATGGACAGTAATTGTAAACAACAATTGGAAAAAGTAAGGTTTTAAAGCCATTATTTAGAGAGACTTATGTGCACAATTAATATCCTGTGTGGGAGGCTAAGATAACATACCTGGAGAAAACCTCTAAACAGAACCAAGACTTAGGAGATGCTGTTTAGAAGTGGCAGTCATGCTACCGTGAACAGTGTGTAAGGAGGGGTGCATAGGGTTGCAAAATAGGGTTGATTTTTGCCTGGTTTTGCAGGCAGACCAGATAGTCACTTTGTATAACCTGATTTTGTTCCAAGCACTTTGTGATTTATAGACTGATATTCAGTGCACTCTAAGTTCTGGAAAGATAATATTTAAGTATCGTCATTGAAAGTAAAGCTGCAAGAGTCTGTTTAGAGCGATGTGAGAGAAAAGAAAGCAGAAGGCAGCAGGTTGCAGAATGAGGCAAGCTTTTATGACAAGCTAAAAAGGTATAGGAAGTTACCTTTCTCAGCTGTTTGTTACAGCCTTTTCACTGTAAGTTTTACAGAGCCTGGAATGGAAATAGCTTAATGCATCGTGTTAATGATCTCAATCTATGTAAACGTAAAGTCACCTTAGTTTAAATATTCTTCAAGGATGCATGAATTTAACACAACTCACTTTGTACTAGTCCATCTTCAAGAGTGCTTTTACAAAGCTCTCTTATAGCTTGGGTTGTGGAGCTGTTTGTTTTACAGAGGCTTTTATTTTCGGTTTGGAAACATTCTGAGGCTCACTGAGGTTCAAATATACACTTCAGATGGGAAAGCAGGTAAAGGAGGGTGCATAACATGATACATAACGATACTCTCAGTATTAGTGTAAAGATTTTCAGTTTATAAATGAAGAATTGAAGAACTGGCATTGGCATCTTCAACCAGAATTAAAACTAGAACAGAATTGAAACTCCAAAATCTCAGTTTCGTGGCTTAAACGTTAGATCTTTGAAGCAGCTCATTTGAGAAATATTTACTGATAAAGACAGTGATTTAGTTATCTAGTTAGAAGGAATTATTGACTATACACATACTAAAACAGTTTCATGGATAAACCCAGTTGCAGAATGACTGCTGCCTCTGTAGGAAATAAAAACAGAATTTGAAAGAAGAAAAATTAAGGCAAAGGGAAAAAAATATTCTCTTTTTTTAGTTACTGCTCTGTTGTGAGAAGCAGTGGTATGGGGTGCTTTTTTTTTTTTTTATAATTTGAAATCTCAGTGGTGTAATATGTCTGAAATACAGGTAGCATGATGTAATGATTGTCTTATAGGTAAGCAGAAAATAAGTACTTCAGAATGGTTATAATGAGACTGTCTGTGAAGAGTATGGCTTTTCCATTGTGGTGGAGAAATCTTTGGCAGCTATGGGGCACGGGTACCATCACTTCAGATCCCATTTGAACAGGAAAGCATTCATACAAATTAGTGATAATAATGAAGTGCATTATTGATGCATAAATACTTTAAAGGGCCATTACTTCCTCAGGAGGACTAAATCCAAGGTAAAAACTGCAGTTCATAACAGATACTATTTTGGCCATGTACAAAATCCTGTGGGACTGTTGGTTGTTACAGAATGAATTGCACATGAACTTCTCAAAATAATGTACCAGTTTCAGCATCTTGTTAATTGACCAGTTATATGAAAAGCTGACTACCAGGAATGTGTATAATTTTAGAATTGCTTCTTTATCTCATTTACTCTGTAGTATGTTCATTGTTTTTCGTCGCTGCTATCAGTGGCATCTCTTGAGTGCTGTGCATTGGCTGTGAATTTAAAAACACCAATAGAAATTTCCACATCTTTTTCTCAAAAAAAAACTTTTGGGAGTGTATTTGCCTCCACTACTTCGCTCAAAATGAAAATGAGAATTAGTTCTGTTTTGCATTAAGTGGGTCTGCTAATTTGCGAAGCCTCTTTTTTTTTTTTGTTTTATAACTCAAAGTTCAACACACATGCTATTTGCCTTTAGCCCTCTAATTCCAGTTTCTTTTGAGAATGATAAAGTCACAGAACAGTTTGGGTTGGAAGGGACCTTAATGATAATCTAATTCCAACCCCCCTGCCATGGGCAGGGACACCTCCCCCCAGCCCAGGCTGCCCAAAGCCCCATCCAGCCAGGCCTTGAGCACCTCCAGGGATGGGGCACCCACAGCTTCTCTGGGCAGCCTGTGCCAGCACCTCACCGCCCTCACAGAGAAGAATTTCTTTCTTATACCTAATCTCAACCTACCCTCCTTTAATTTAAAGCCATTACTCCTTGTGCTGTCACTATGCTCCCTGACAGAGCCCCTCCCCAGCCTTCCTGCAGGCCCCTTTAGGTACTGGAAGGCCACTGTAAGGTCTCCCCTGAGCCTTCTCCAGGCTGAACAACCCCAGCTCCCTCACCCTTTCATAGGAGAGGTGCTCCAACCCTCTGAGCATCTTTGTGGCCCTGCTCTGGACTTGCTCTAATATTTCAATTTCCTTCTTGTGCTGGGCCCCAGAGCTGAATGCAGTGCCCCAGGTGGGGTCTCGGGAGAGCAGAGCAGAGGGGCAGAATCCCCTCCCTCACTCTGCTGGCCACGCTGCTTTTGATGCAGCCCAGGATGCGGTTGGCTTTCTGGGCTGCAAGCACACGTTGCTGGCTCACATCGAGCTTCTTGTCAACCAACACCCCCAGGGCCTTCTCCTCAGGGCTCCCCTCAATCCATTGCTCCGGGATTACCTTGGCCCAGCTGCAGGGCCTTGCACTTGGTCTTGTTGAACCTCATGAGGTTCGCACAGGCCCACCTCTCAAGCCTGTCCTGGTCCCCCTGGATGGCATCCCTTCCTTTCAGTGTGTCCTCCGCACCACTCAGCTTGGTGTCACTAACAGTCTTGGTAAGGATGCACTCAGTGCCACTCTCTGTGTTGCCTACAAAGATCTTAAGCAGCACCAGTCCCAATACCAACCCCTGAGGAATGCCACCCATCATTGTCACTCATGCTGACCACAACTCTCTGAGTGTGACCATCCAGCCCATTCCTCATCCACCGAGTGGTCAGTCTGTCAAAGCCATGTCTCTGCAATTTAGAGACAAGGCTGTCATGGGATGGTGTCAAATGCTTTGCCCAAGTCCAGGTAGATGGTGGCAGTTGCTCTTCCCCTAGCCACCACTGCTGTAACCCCATCATAGAAGGCCACCAGATTTGTCAGACAGACAAATCTGAGAAGAATATCTGAAATCTAATAGTTGGAATCTAGTGGGTGTAGCTCAGTGGATGAAGAGAGAGCAATGCTCGTGGTTGTGGTTTATTTTGACCTCAGTTAAGACTTGACATGATAGCCTGTAACGTTCTCATAGACAAGCTGAAAAATGTGGACTAGATAACTGGACAGTGAGCTGGAGTGGGAACTGGGTGAACTGTTGGGCTCAAAGGATTGCGATCAGCAGCATGAATCCAGTGGAAGGCTAGCCATTAGTGGCATACTCCAGGGGTTGATACCAGGACTGACCTTGTTCAAAATCTTTGTTAATGACACAGATGATGGGACAGAGTGTACCCTAAGCAAGCTGGCAGGTCACAGGATCATACAGAACTTGAAGGAGTGGCTGGGGCACCAGGGTGCTGTGTCACCATTCCCTCTTACAGTTTGAAGCAATAGGCCAACAGGAGTCTGATGGAAGAGTTCAACATGGTTCTCATGCTCAATATTTGGGCTTGGTTCTGGGCTCCTCACTACTAGTCGTAGAGATACTGGGGTGAGTCAAGCAAAGGACCATGTTGGTAATTAAAGGACTAAAACATATCTCATACAGGAGAGGCTGAGAGAGCTGGGATTGTGCAGTCTGGAACAGAGAAGACTCAGAGAGGAAGATGGGGAAGTAAAGAAAACAGTCTGGCTCTTTTCAGTGGTGCCCAATGAAAGTGCAAGAGGAAGTGGATTTAAATTGAAATACAGGAAATTCCATTAAGGCATAAGGAAAATAAATATTATAAGGGAGGTTGAATACTAGAGCAGGTTGCCCCGAGGGGACGTAGAGTCTCCATCCTTGGAGACAGTCAAAACCTAACTGGACATGGACTACAGTGTTCAAATACTCCTTCCTTCTGATTGACCTGTTTATGATTTTAGGGCTGGCAAAGTCCCTTGGTTTATGTAGCATTTACTGTTGCCAAAGGGCTGCATGAATCTGGTTGACTTTGCTTTAAGTG